AAAATCCTCAGCTCATGTAGAGAAGTTCGTTGCTCACGGTGGCTAAGCTCTGGATTTCATATCGTTGAAAAGCCTCTTGCATGAGATGGAGACCCCTCTCGAGGTATCCCAAGCACCAGGAGAGCTTGACAGTCAAGTAAATATCGATTAAGTTCTTGGCCAGGACCAAAACATCTAAGCATCTCATCGACTTGTCCAGCCTAAGGGAATCCACGTCCACTGCCAGAAAAGGAACACCTAGTTTACAAAAGGAAGCACCGTTTTGTTACCTTGCAAGGCCAAACCACATACAACAAGTAGTTGACACTCGGTTGGCAGGCCTGGAAAGGTTGTTGCTTTCGCCGTTACTGAGCAATAGTCAGTCCCGAAATATGCAACAAGATCTATCACCTGTTTCACTGAGCTGCATCTGGTTGTTCAGCCTCTGTAACTTCGCCAGCTTTTCCGCGTGCAACAAGGGTGTCAAAACGGCTCATACCAGATCTAGATTACCATGAGAGCGAGGTTGTATGCTTTCCAAAGCGGCTGCAAAATCCGAGATTTATGTAATGCAAACAAAGCCCTTTGATAAGTACCTTGCTGCAAAAACCGCGTGCTGAAAGCCTCTCGCAAAAGTCAGCGAGCACGTCGAAACCACTGATGTAAGGCCGTGATGAAACCACAGAGCAAGCGTGCAAGAGGAACTTCGGCAATAGCGTCATTCGTAACATCTGTTCATACAATCCATCCATCATAGAAACTTCGCCAAAGAAAAAAAACATAGCTCACCATTTCCAACAAGCTTGAGCAAGTTTTCGAATGAGGCAGGACAGAGCTCATGCTGTTGCCGAGTGAGATCGTCGGCAAGAATCTGATGGAAAATGGAGAACGCTTTGATCTTCCGCGCAACGATGCAATCTTACCTGGAAATATCTGAACGCACGCAGCGATGGGTCACGCATCAAATCGCCCTGTGTAAATCACGAATTTAGCATATGACGCATCTCACCATGACGTAGACAATGCCCCAGGCTTTGAGGCGCGTGACGAGAACAGTTTCGCGCACCCGGAATCCCACGTTGCCATGCATCCTCCATTAAACCCTAGCTTCCACGCCAAAAGCCCTAAAAACGTAGAGTTTTGGCGGGAGTTTTAATTCTCAAAGGATCTTCCTTCAGGGTTCTAGAGCTCATGACGACGATCGTGCTCACGCGCGAGGAAGCGAAGATTCTCGACGCTCTCCGTCTGGTGATCCGTGAATGCGACTTGAAGATCGAGGTGAGAGTGGGCGGATGGGTGCGCGATAAGGTCTGGTGTTTTAGATCATTTAGCTTGAATCGTTCTAGCTCAATTCAATTCGCGCAGCTCCTTGGCGTCGAGAGCCACGATTTGGATATTGCGCTGGATGATATGACTGGGCAGCAGTTCTGTGATCGTGTGCTCCCGTGCTTGAGGAAGACCGATCCTTTGTGTTCTTACAAGGTTATCAAAAGGTTTGTGTTGTCTAGAGCTTGTTATTTTTCTAACAACTGGAATTTACATGTTGTAGCAATCCAGAACGATCCAAGCATTTAGAAACGACCAAGCTGGAGATCCTGGGTGGAGAGCTTGATGTTGTTGATCTCCGATCCGAGACGTACACCAACGATTCCAGGATTTGATTTTCACTCGACTTCCTCTTGTTCTTACGCTCTTTTCCTTCCTGCTAGAAATTTGGAACACCTTCCGAAGACGCTTACGGGAGAGATCTCACGATCAACAGCCTCTTCTACAACGTTGCTGCTGACAAGGTTGAGGACTTCACTGGTCGAGGTTTGTGTATATTTCATCTTTCGATTCTTTCCACAACTGTGTTGTCCAGGTGTAATGGACCTCAAGCTTGGAAAGATCAGGACTCCGTTGCCACCGCTCGTTACTTTTCTAGATGATCCATTGCGTGTCCTGAGATCCATTCGGTTTGGTCTGTGACGACTTGTCTTCATCTTAGAATTCTATCTGGAACCTTTCGTTTTCCTGATCAGCGGCGCGCTTTAATTTTGAGCTGGACGAGGAACTAGAGTGCGTGGCATCTGTTGATTCTGTGAAGGCTGCATTCGAAACAAAGATCACCAGGGAGCGCATTTCTCAGGAGGTGGAATACGATCTCTTGGTTTTTATTTTTCGTGTGCCTCTTACATTCGTTTTTCAGATTCAAGCCATGCTCTTCGGAAAGAATCCTGCTCGGGCGATGTGCCTGCTGCACAAGCTTGGTTATTGGCCTCTGATTTTTACGAGGCCAGTGAGTGCGCAAAGGTAGTCAGTTCAGTCCCTCCTTTTCGTTTCTCGAACTCATTTAAATCTTTGCTAGTGTGAAGGACTTTCAAGTCGTTTGCGAGACTCTAGAGTCTGTCAACATTCCTGAGGTACTTACACTGAACACTTTGGTTTTGACTCTTTAACTTACTCAACGCAGGAAGGTGAAAGGCGTCTTGTTCTTGTTGCTGGGATTCTCTATCCATTCAAGAAAGAAAACGATACAGTTTTGGGCTCCATGGCCGAGAGAATAGGATTAAAAGCAATGCTTAAAAAGGTTCACGTTCTATACATTTCCTTCCTCTCTTGAACTGTCTCGTGTACCAGGTGAAAGCATTGTACAAAGCAATTGGAAATACCTTCGTGCAAGATTGGTATGAGTTGAACAAATGTACACTTTTTGGAGGATTACCTTGTCTTTTCAACGAAAGTTTTCGAGTAGAGGCCGGCCTAGCCTTCAGAGACAGGGACTTCAGCTTGTCAGCTGCTGCTTTATTTCTCTCCGTGCCAGCCCCTAGCGTCCAGCAGAAAGACGTGTTTAACGCTATTCTAAAAAGCATCAGCTTATCTGGTAAGAAGTAGTAGTTTTTCTCGTTTTCAATATTCAATACTTTTTTCAGGATTGTTAAATTTAAAACCTCTGCTCACGGGGAACGATCTCAAACTCGAATTTCACATTGTTAGCGGCCCGAGAGTGGGTGAGCTGGTAATTCTTTGAACCTTCCATTCACAAGATATTATCGAATGGTTGTTTTACAGAAAGAAGCTATGTTTATATGGCAGCTACGAAATCCTAGTGGGACCAAACCAGAGTGTATCAGATATTTACGAGAATTATTCATCTAAGGAGTCAAACACACAACTTGGGAATGAATCGTGCTGTAATTATCAATAGAACGAAAGGTAAAAAGTTGTGATTTTAACTGTGGCTAAGTTAATATTTTTTTCAAGTATCGCTAAGGTTTCTGTTGCTTATAGTTGTTTGCTATTAACGTGTTTTCTATTTTACGGAGTACTATCTACATGAGATCAAGCTTATTGCCACTCTCGCAAGTCCCAGCGATTGCTTAGCAGCCTCTTGACGTGGTCGCCCAGAAGTTCCTTCCCTTTCTCGAGCTTCTCTCGCAGTGCTTGGACTGATTTTTGCAGAACAGCCAAGTCGAGGAGCTCGTGTCTGGCATCCCTGTGCGAGCATCCAGCCAGGAGTAAGCACCTAATTTGCTTTTCAAACTTTAAATGTACACACCTGGGATTTAGAAGCGTTGTCATGCACTCGAGCTTGCCTTGGAACAGGATCATGTTTTGAAGCAAACACCGGGCTTTTTCTTGCTTTGGCCTGATACCGAGTCCCGTTTTCATTATTTCTATCGCGGAGCTCAAGTCGACTAGAAAATCGTCCGCGGAGGCCTGCAGGAAAGAAAGAGTTGTCAAAAGAATGGAAAAGAAAAAGGATATAAAACTCATGCCTTGAGTGGGCACGCCGTGGTGAGGAAGGCTCGAACGTAGAAGTTGTCGTCTTTCAAGCCGAGTGAGCTAAACACTGACTTCGCTTCGCTGAGGTACTCGTTTTCCTTCTTCTTTCCTTTCATTGCTCGCAACTCAACCAGTGCCTCCTCTTTTTTCGACCAGTTCCCGGTCCGCTCACAGCTCGTGGCTTGCAAACCTTTCGAGCTGAAAACTCCGGGAGAAGGCTCGATGCCAACACGTCGCAGTACATTATCGTGACCACCGCTTCGACGCGTCAAGACGAGGAAAGGATCACCTGTGATCGCCATGAGCTCCAACAGGTCTTTTTCCAGAACTTTGGACGTAGAAACCGTTTCCTGTAACTTCTGCTTGATCTCCCAAGGCAGCACGTCCAGAACGGGAGAACGTAAGCACTCCAAAAGTTTACCTCTGATACCCGCCACCATGAGTGTGAGGAGCACTTTCACCAGCTCAAGAACGAGCTCGCTGCTCCTGCGCAGCCACTCCACGAAAAAGTCTGGCCTTCCTAAAAGCAACGAGATGCAAATCCTGCCGATGGCATTGAGGCAGTCGCAAGCAGAGGCCTCTCCAGGGGCCTTGATCAGCTCGAGAACTTTGCAGAGGACCTGTTCCTGAGGCCTTCCAGTCATAAACTTGAAAGCCAGGCTCTCCGGAAGGACCATCTGCTCCAGGCCCGTGAAGCAAGCCAAGCTCAGCACCGTGGCTCTCTCCAGCAGATAGAAGAACGTTTGCGGCCTGATGAAGTCTGTTGGAATGACGTCCTTGTTGATGATATCGCCGATAAATCCAACTGACGGCCTCACTACGGAATCCAGGAACTCGAAAGGAGTACACCGATGGTTGCTGCGCGAGTAGAACGTTGCCAAGCCAGCCATATCTTCTGGAAGGTGTCGCTTCAACGTCTCGAGCTTTGGAGTGCTCAGAAACGGTAAGAGAACGCGCAGAGTTCCCCGCACTTCGCTGGAGTTGTCGAGAAAATCCAAGCTCTGCTCGCCTGCAACGCGGTCCAAGTGCGCAGTGAAGAAACGCTTGTGGCAAATGGATGATATGTCGAGAAAACTCTGCGCGTCCCCGAGAAACGCTACATTGTAGAGAAGCCTTCTGTATCCCTGGAGCTTTAGTTGGAGCTTCTCCTGATGGCTATCCAGGACAGTGGCAAGCATCTCGAGCAAGCCGAGGATAACGACCGTTACTCTCGATTGTGTTGAAGAAATCTCGCTGTGCTTGTGCAAACTCCGGATTCAGTCCAGCCCCGACTCTAGTAGCTGCTCTTCCAAAAACTTCTTCGCGAGTGATGCTACTCGCTCGGTCCTGTGTTGGCCCCTGCTGCATCCACTGTAAAGCGGCCTGACTGTTTCGTTTTGGAGCCAGAAAGCTCCAACATACTCCACAATGCAGAGCTTGGGATTCATGTCTCGGCTGATTCCCAGGTAGTTCAAAGCCGCTGAAACCGCAGTTCCCCGTGGTAACATATCTTGAACTCCATCGAGAGACTGCACCACGGAGTGGATCCATTGAAACCAGGTGTTCCAAGCCGAGAGCACGAGTTGTTGCAAGTTCTCGACGTTGTCCTGGACGAGCGTCAAGCCAGAGCGCTCGGAATCGAGCTCAAACGAGGCTGCTGCTTTCAAGGCTTCGGACGCTCCTCCCAATAGCTGCCGCAAGGCAATGACTTCGACGTTGGAGTTCTTCGCCACCTTCCAGTTTTCTAGGAGCTCTCTCACTGTGGCAGTGCCTGGAGTCGTCCGGAGCACTTTGAGTTCGTGCGAGAACACGGGGTTGTCAGCAGCTAGACGTGCCGCCTTGTCGAGAGTCTCACGGTCTTGGAAGCTCTTCAGAGGCCAGCCACAGTTCTGTCCTCCCCACAAGGACTGGAGCCTGATGTGCTCGAGGATTTTCCGAGCCGCTTCGGAACGCTTGCCGGCATTTTCGAGTAGCTCCGATGCTCGGAGAACGTTTCCCTTCCTCGCAGCCACTTCTGCAGCTTTCTCGAAGTTGCCAAGGCTGCATGCAAGCTCGATAAGCTCGTCAAGGTACTCCCGTCTTTCCAAGAACGCAATCTTCCAGTCCGCATCCGACGAGGCTTGCACCGCCTCCATCATCGAGTGAGCGTCTACTTTGCGATGAAAGTACTCGGCAGCGTTCTTCCGAAACTTCTCCAACGTGTTGGCAGGCACGCTTGGTACTGTCCATTTGCGAATGAAGTCGAGGCCTTCTTTGTACAGTCTTCCCTTGGCACAAGCTTCAAGGCATTTCTCGTAATGGTTCCCCTCCGCATATACTTGTGAAGCTTCGCTGTGGAGATTTGCGGCCATGTAGCAGTCTCCCGAGAGTTCTAGCTTTGAGCATTGCTTGTACAAAAAACCTACACAACAAATCAGTATAAGCACGAGAGAGAGGGAGAAAAGAAAAGAGCTTTATTCATCACAGTACCTGCCCTTTGAAAGTCTTTCATCAATCTGAAACACTTTGCTACAGCATCCTTCTTTTCCACGGACTCGTACAGTGCGGCCGCACGTTGTAGGTCCCTTTTTGCAGCACTCTGGTCGACTCTAAGGAATTTTTCTCCCCTCTCTTGAAATTCCGCAGCTTCAGATAGTTTTGCTCGGTATCTATCGCCTGCTCGTTTGAAGGAAAGCTTTGCCATGTCAAACCGGCGAGCATTAAACATCTACACAAACCAGCCAATACATTTTTTTAAAGAGTGAATCCACTCCACAGATATTTACCTCAACACCACGTTGGTGCCACTGCTCGGGGGAGCTTATCTGGTGAATCGAGGATATCAGTGACGCATCCAACGCACCTCTCTTGACAACGTTCAGACTCTTCCAGTAATCAAGCATTGGCCGCTGATATTCCAGGTTCTCGTCGATGATCCACAGCCTCCGTTTAGTCCTCGTGATGGCAACATATAGCTCCTTGAGTTCATTGCACAAAATGCTGGGAAGCTGAGCGGGTAAACAATTAGCTGGACGGCTTCTACCAAAAACAGAAGAAAGTGTTTTCCACGCTTCAGGGCTTGCCGAGTCAGTGAAGAAGTTAAAGATCAATACATCCTGTGTAAGAGTAGCTTAGAGCATGTTAGAAGAAAATAAAGCGTACCTCAAACTCTAATCCTTTACTGTCCTCCACCGTAAGGACGAGGCATCTTGTGCCGAGTTCCTTTAGCAGCTGCTGCTTCTGGGACTTGTTCCGGACTAGTACGGCTTGATCCGAGCCAAACTCGTAACCGGAGCTGGATCCATGACTGAAAAACAAAAAGTTGATAGACGTGCTATCGTCTGGGAGATTCAAAACAACTGGAACTTCGCCGAGTACAGAACTACTTTCCGGCTCGAGCCTGTCGACCCTGAGAGGGAAGAACCGAAGTATCAGCTCCATAACACTATTTGCAACCTGGACAATGGCGCCCGTTGTCCTGAAATTGTCTATCAGCTGCACGATATCCGGACACCTCGCCTCGGCTTCCAGAAACTCTGTATAGAAAACCCGACGTACATCTTCGAACCGGAATTCCACACCTCTAGTGATGGTCTGAGCCGTATCTCCAGCAAAAATGAAGCCTTCCCGATAATTCGTGCATACGAACTTGAGCAGGCAAACCTGAGCCAGCGTAAAATCTTGCACCTCGTCAATATAGACAAGATCAAGCTTGTCTCCCTTGAACCCCTCCACCCTGAGCTGCCGGTACAAATGCCAAACATAGTCTGCCATGTCGTAGTCGTCGTTTTCTTTCTTGAGTTTCTCGTAGTGGAGATAGAGGTCGTAGATCGTGTCCCGTTGCCCCTCATCGAACACCGAAATACGCTGTGATGCCAAGTTGATGAAAGCCTCGCGAGAAAGCCTTCCGTCCGGACAGTGAAGGGACTCAGCGCTTCCCTTGATGTGAGACACGATAGCTGCGTAGACATCTGATGCATCGTACGTCTTCCTCAAAGAGGCCTTCATCATACGCGGCCAGTAAACCGACACAAAGACGTCGAAGTCCACTTCCCGATCTTCAAGTGTTCTGCTTCGGAAAGGCCTCGACACAGTTCCATGAACCATATCCAAAAGCTTTTTGAGGGTCAAGACGAGAGGAAAGGCCTCAGGTTGGATGTTGATGAAACTGTCTGGAATGCTGCCTTGAAACTCTTCGTCAAGCATCACATCTTCGTTGCAGGTGTCCCCAAAAGCAGCAGTATAAGCATCACTTCGTAGTAAAGACCTGAAATGTAAGAAAAACTGGTGACGCTGATGAGTAACAGGAGTTCGTCGCATACCTTTTAAACTTTTCGAGGTAGTTCTTGACTGCGAAACACAGCCTCTGGCTAACGGTAATGAACGCTTAACGCAAGCACGTCCCCTCGGCGCTATCAAAACTCCCGTTATCACCAAAACCACACCTTGATATGCGATGGAGCTGCTCAATGCGCATCATCTTAACACTGATAACCGTGGTTTTGCCTGTGCCCGACCTTCCGATAACAAAAGCCGACGAAGAAGACAACATCAGCTCGGTCTGTGGATGACTTAGAGGGAATGGCAGCTCGATTTCTGTACCGCCACTGTCTGTCAGAACGTAGTTCGCAATTCCAGATGACTCTGAATAGAACTTCAGTAGAGATAGATTCTCTGAAACTTTGGGACCACGCTGACTAATTGGAGGCGCTGCATTGCCGTCGTCGATGACTTTCTGGACAACATCTCCGCTCCATACTTCCGGAACAACGATTCTACCGCAAACGGACGTCTTTGTCGTCATAGTTCGACAGCGTTCCACGTAATCCAATGAGTAAGTCGAGCTGACAGTATTCAATCGTTGGACAGTTCGCTGTAGTCCTTGAACGCCCACCACATCACATAGCTCGATGGCCTGAGACCTTCTATTGCTCGTCAAAACCACTCTCCAGACTAGAAGCAAACCGTTCATGCGAAACACGTGAATATCCTCTGAGAGTGTCAGCGGCATCGCAGAGTTAAACTCAGGCCAGTGACCTCTAGCAAGTCCCAGGACAAATCTCGTGCAGCCATTTCTGAAGGACGCCGATTGACGAGCGTAACTGGTCTTGAACTCCTTGCTGAAGAAGACCTGCAAAGAGAAAAACATGCTCAGGTAGGCAAGAAAACCGATGAGGACACTCACCTTCCAGATACAGTTTTCGAGAAGAGAACTGTTAATCAGGATATCATAAAACTGGTCCACTTTGCCTCCAACACGCTTCTCCAGCTCTGGAACGTCGGTCGAGTCCACAAAGCAATCTCTGCTTTTTGCATTCTGAACTAAATCCCTCCAAATGGTCTCGTTCTTAGCCAAGGTATGCTCGTTACCAACAATGCAAAGACAGTATCTGCATGGGAAAAACTAAGTAGAGGCTCAAACATTATGGCAACCACCTGGCTCGAGTTATTGAAACATTCAGACGTCGATGATCTTTCAGAAAGCCCAAATCTCCGGAAGGGTTCGATCTGACAGTCGACAAAATAACTACGTCCATTTCACGACCTTGAAATCCGTCGACAGTATTGGCCTCGACCTTGAAAGAAAACGAAGCATGTTGTATGCGACTTCTTAGTGCAGTAACTTGTGCCTTGTAAAAGGAGATAACTCCCACCTCAAGGTTGCTGCAGTTACGTTTCTCTGGAGAATCACATCTTAGAAATTTCAACCAGCTTCATTCTGTACCTTTTTGGAGTTTCTCCAATAGAAACATGATGACTTCAATTTCTGTGGGATTTTCCAAGCTCCCCTCTTTGGCAGTGCATTCCGAACTGTTCGCATGGATAAATATATATGGGCCGTATAAGAGCGAGCGGAACGCTGCGCCGTAAGAACTCACTGTTACATTCGGGCCATCTTGGATTTTTCGCTTGTAGAATTCATAGTTTGAGAACTGGCAAATAGATGGGTGCATGCGGTACTGAACATTAAGCATAATATTCGGGTGGTCCAGCGCATGGAGCCTCTGGAACAAGCTCCTTCCATAACCGGACATTTTAGACTTCTGTAAACACATACAGGCATCGAATCAGTACGAAGTTTGCACGGTTAAAAGTACCTCGCTAAGAACAGTGGGTGGTAACTGCCGGTGGTCTCCAACAAGGACGAGTTGCTTTAGACAAGAAAGGCCCATAATGATAGCTGTTTCCGCTTCGATAGCTTGAGAAGCCTCGTCAAGAACAGCTACGTCAAAGAGCACCGCCGAATTTTGCACCAACGGCATAGCAGCGCAAGACAGCGTGCAAAACACCATGGTCGAATGCCTGACGAGCTGCCTTCTGATGAAGCTTGTCATGCGGTCAGCGCTCACTTGAAGGCTCTGAAGGAGGACAGCAAGTTTGTCAAGGTTGTTCTTGATGCTCCTGTTGACACCAAAGCAAGCAATAGCATCAATAAGATCGCTTATCTTGGCGAGGAGGCTTTTCACTTTGACGATTTTAGCCGACTGAACGAGTGTGGTCGGCAGGTCCGAAAGAGCCTGAACCATCTGCTGTTCAAGACTGGCGAACGTTCTTCGTACGACGTCCGAGAAGTTTTGAGAGGCCTCCATATTCAGAAAGTCGACCATGGAAGACGCTTCTGATTTGCAGCAGCTTAAGGTCGACGATATCCTGTTCAAGCGATATGGAAGAAACACTTCGGACAGCAGCTTGTCACTAACACCAGTCAGCCTCGTCTCATTTCCTATGAGCAGAATATCGTTGGAGCCAGAGTCGTTTGTCTTCAGAAACCGAGTGACTAGTTCCTGAACGGCCATGTTTGTAGGAGCGCAAACCAATACACGCCTTCCAGAGCTCCGTAGAACAGAAAGAAGTGCGGCTAGCACCGACGTTTTCCCTGTACCCGGAGGTCCCTGTATCAGCCTCACGTACGGCTTTTGATTTTTCTCAAGCGCCAAAACGGTGCTGGACACGGCCCTTGATTGAAAATCGTTCAGATGCGAGCATCTTGTTCCAGAAAGAAATCCTTTGTCAGCATCATCCACCCAAAGTGCCTATAAACGAAAACATGAAGTTAGCGAAAAATACGTTACTTCAGTGACAGAAAAATTCTCTAGGTACCTGCTGCAGCACCTCGTCGAAAATCGGGAACCGATTTTCATCGGCAAACAGCGGCCGCTGCAACGCATTCCAAATCCTCGAAGCTGATACCAGGGACTCCAAGCCAATGACGTACCAGGGTCTCTCCGGATCAGTCAGAGCGTTCTCCATCTGGGATGTGGAGTATATCTCGGCCTCCCAAAAGCCCGTTGGAACATCAAAGCCGGTCAGTAGAACCAGCGCGTGCATCTTTCCCGAAGCTTGCACGTCCTTCGCGGAGGAAGTTGGGCTTGTCGCGAGTAGGACAACATCCATTGGCTTGAAAGAGGAGTTGTCTTTACCGTCCACCTTGAGCCAGACCCGTCGAAGCGTTTCGTCTGTGTCTTCCATCTTCACTCGTACCATAGCCCAGCCATCTTTTTTAATCCGTGAAAGCCCGCGGCTTAATCCTTCTCGCACTTCATCGAGCAGCGGCAACTTGAAGCTCGCGAGGTACTGCCTCAAAGAGGTAAACTCGAGAGGAATTTTTCTCACCTGAAACACCATCTTCCTTGTCAAGCAAAGTGCAAGCTCAAAGAAAGAAGAGAAAAAAAAAAAAACAACTCACCTGAATGAGCGAGCCATTCTCGATGTTGTCCAGCGACCACTTGAGCACGCGTGATGAAAGCGTCTCAAACCTCGACGATTCATCGGCGGCAGAAGTGGATGCTTCGATCGATTTCCCAGTCGAAGATTGCACCTGCATTTTGCACCACCCGAACGAGAATCCGCAGGAAGGAAGAACTACAAACACGAAGAAGAAATCGTATGGAGTGTATAGATCACGGAATCAAGAACTTACATCCGCGAGCAGAGCGTTCGAAATCGTTAAATGCTCCACATTTAAGTGGCGTGAAAGCACGAGGCCCTGGAATTTCCAATCACATCAAAGATCACATCCAGCGATAGCGCAATCTCTTGCATTGCGCTCCTGGCCACTTACAAGCATCTCGTCTCCTCCGCTTCTTCGTGCGCCTTCGCCCGCCTCCTCCTCCATTGCACAAAGCCCTAAACCCTTCAATGTGATGCAATATTCACAGTAAAATAATTCAATTTTTGAAATATTTTAGAAACTTCTACGTTCTTATATATATAATTTATAAACACATTTATAATTTTTTAGATTTTCTTAAACACTTCTTAATGTATTCTAACTTATTCTACTAGGTTGATATGCATTAACAAAAATTTTTTTTTAATAAATTATACACATTTTTATAATTATAAATTTCCATTTGATCAATTGGATTGATAAATGTGAATAACACTACTATTAAGCAACCAAACAACATATAACAAATTATTTTCTCTTTTTATACTTTACTTTTATTTAGATTAGAAAAAAGAAATGTTTGGTTTACTAAAAAGGCAAACATAATTTACCAAGGAAAAAAGTTTGATGTGGGGCAGGATCTTCTGGATCTGCTTCTCCATCTCCATCTCCATCTCCATGACCCGCTTCTCATCGAAGTCCAAGCCAAAAACAACGTGTCTATACTGAAAGGAGACTTCAACCACACTTATAAATGCAATATTTCTCAGGAGATGTTGAACCATCGCCTAATCACACCTTCTTAGTTCTTTCTAGGTGTTTCTGAAGTCTATAAATTGCTGTCCAATCTTTTGTGTGTGTGTCTCGAATTGTTCCTCAAAGTCCATTGCCCACTTCTAGTTGAGCCCTCTTCCCCTTCTTTATCTATCCACTTCTAATGGCAGCCACCGTCACTCTTGTTGGCAATGGTTATGTGTACCCAAACGACAGTTTCGGTTCTATTTCTAATGATGGCCTTGAAGGATGGACCGATGCCACTGGATCAACCCGTGTCTTCTTTTTGCCACAGAAAACTGGATGGATCTCTGTTTCAATCCAGGCAAGATCAGTTGACAACACTAACACCTTGCGCTTAAGCCTCGATGGTAGTCCCAATGCTGCACACGACGTAGTTTTGCCCATGTCCTCTGATTTCAAAACTTATACAGTGGGAACTTATACCATTTTCAGCGCAGAGTATCACTATCTGGAAATACGTGCAGTCACCCAAAACTCAACCTACCTTCCTGAAGTGCAAGCGCTGATCATCTCTGGTTCTGCTGCCGAAGGCCTCAGGTATAACAAGAGCTCCAATCGCGCTGCACCCTCAACGCATCTCTGGTACAACACAGATGCTATCCAGGGGGCTATCACTGGGTTCTACACTGAATTCTATGTAAAGCAAGCCGAAGATCCCGTAAACTCCTACTACATGACGAATGGTTTTGGAGATGGCTACTTCGGCATTCAGGTAAGTTCCAGTCTATACCATGGTGACCACTCTCTAATACTGCTATCTATATGTTCCTAGGTGATCTCTCCGACTGAAAGGAGAGTATTGTTTTCAGTATGGAGCAATTATAATACTGAAGACCCAGGGCAGATCCCCGATGACTACAAAGTGAAGCTGGTGAAGAAAGGCACTGATGTGATTTCAGGAGAATTTGGTAATGAAGGGTCGGGTGCACAGAGCTACATCCAATATATGTGGAATACTGACACCGTTTACAGAGGGCTTTTGACGGCTGAAGCGGATGGCAGCGACAACACTATATTTTCAGGTTACTTCTTTTTGCCGGAGTCGGGCTGGAAGCTGATAGCTCGATGGAACAAGCCAAAGACTGGAGCTCGCTTGTTGACAGGGCTTTACTCCTTCGTGGAAAACTTTCGAAGCAATGGAAACGACTACTTCAGAGCTCACTACGGCAACCAGTGGGCTTATGGTGAGGGTGGATGGGTGCAGCTGACCAAGGCTACATTCGACACGACCGCCGGTGAAGGCGACTATCAGCGATATGATTATGGCGCTGGGGCAGAGGGTAATTGGATGTATATGTTCAGTGGTGGATTTAGGCAGACCAACAATGTGAAGGTTGGAGATGTCATAGAAAGGAGCGTTGGTCCTGATCCCGACGTGGACTTCGCAATCTTGGATGCTCTCTAAAGCCTACATGCCAGAGCTCAAAGGCTTTGCTTGGACTGTACCTTTACAAATAACATGGCTGGCGCTAGATGTTTCGATCCATGCCGATCCATCGCACCTATCATAATCTCCTGGCAATCTACCTTCAGTTTTCTAATGTAATTATATTAATGCAATAATAAGTGGTTCGAACCCCAATTGTATGCTTGCCAGTTGTCGCACACACCGGCGATGGCAAGCTCCAAGGTACCACAGCCGAGACCAAAGCTGGAAACAAGCAGGCAAACGAAAGAAACTTCGTTTCCCTAAGAACAAATTAGAGTTCTAGACATATATAATCACTTTAAATCGCAACAGCAGAGGCTTTCCAACGCTAGAATGAGCGAAGTACCAGCTCGATGGAAAGACAACAATCAAGACCAGCTATCTTTTTCAATCCGTGAGAGGCTGCCGAGGTAAAGAGGTAAACTAGAGAGGGATTTTTTTCCAGCTGGAGCACATTGTCATTGTCAAACGAAGTGCAAGCTCAAAAAAAAGAAGAGAAAAATAGAACTCACTGAAAGAGCGACCCATTCTCAATGAGCACTTGAGCACGTGATGAAAGCGCCAAACCTCGATGAGTCATTGGATGCTTCGATTGTGCATTTTGCATCTAATGTAACACAATAAACTGTTTTTGATTTACCTAAGCAAAAGATGGTAGTGAATATATTTAAAATATGCTTGAATATTCAGGATATTATACCATCTAATGGTTGTTATTTATTTAGATTAATTTTATATTTATAATTTATAAACTTTTCCCTTTCTAGTATATATTTTTTATTCTATTATCTAATGGTTGATATGCGATAAAATTAATCTTGTGTTTATAAATTACAAACATGCTTATAATTATAAAATTTATTTGATCAATTAAATTAATAAATAAAAATAACATTACTAGCTATGTTTTCTTTAGCAAACAAATTATTATCTGCGGTGGTGTTTTAGTTTTTAGAGAGCATCCAATTTTTTCAGGTCCACATCAGGACCAGCGCTCCTTTGTATGATATCTCCAGGTTTCACATTGTTCGTCTGCTTAAATCCACCACTATACATATACATCCAAATGCCTTCTGCCCCAGCGCCATAATCATATCGCTGATGCTTCTCTTCACTGGCGGTCGTGGTGAATCCGGCCTTGGTCAGCTGCACCCATCCATCCTTACCATAAGCCCACTGGTTGCCAAAGTGAGCCTTGAAGTAGTCGTTTCCATTGCTTGAAAAGTTCTCCACAAAGGAATAAAGCCCTGTCAACAAGAGAGCTCCAGTCTTTGGTTTGTTCCATCGAGCTATGAGCTTCCAGCCCGACTCCGGCATATAGAAGTAACCTGAAAATATGGTGTTGTCGCTACCAGAAGCTTCAGCCTTGACAAGGCATCTGTAAACGGTGTCAGTTTTCCACATATATTTGAAGTAGCTCTGTGCACCCGACCCTTCGTTACCAAATTCTCCTGAAATCACATCACTTCCTTTTTTCACCAGCTTCACTTTGTAGTCTTCGGGGATCTCCTCTGGTTTCTGAGTATCATAGTTGCTCCATATTGAAAATAATACTCTCCTTTCAGTCGGCGAGTTCACCTATGGATAATAAGAGTATTAGGAGGTGGATAATGCAATTAAACTGGAACTTACCTGTATACCAAAGTAGCCACCTCCAAAACCATTCGTCATATAGTAGGAGTGAAGGGGATCTTCGCCTTGCTTGACATAGATTTCACTGTAGAACCAAGTGATACCCCCCTCGATACCCTCTGTTTTGTACCAAAGATGCGTTGAGGGTGCACCGCGGAAGGAGCTCTTGTTATACTTGAGGCCTTCGGCGGCAGAACCAGAGATGACCAGTGCTTGCACATCTGGAAGGTAGGTCGAGTTTTTGGTGACTGCCCGTATCTCCAGATAGTGATACCCTGAGCTGGAAATGGTGTATGTTCCTACTGCATAAGTTTGGAAATCAGAGGACTTGGGCAGGACTACGTCGTGTGCAGCACTGGCACTACCATCGAGACTTAAACGCAAAGTGTTAGTATTACCAACTGATCTTGCCTTGATTGAAACAGAAATCGACCCAGTTTTCTGTGGCCAGAAGTAGACACGGGTGGATCCAGTGATATCTGTCCATGCTCCAAGCCCGGCTTCAGAAATAGAACCGAAACTATTGGACCCCTCTCTTGGGTACACATAAGCATTGCCAACAATTGTGAGGGTGGCTGCCATCTTAGAACAGATTAAGAAGGAAAAGAATGCTCAAAAAAGAGTGCTCAGCTATTGATAGTAGAAATGGGCTTCAAATTTATGGACTTCTATACTGTTCATTTTGCGGACTGGGTAGGACCAGCTGGTGGGAGGCCACCATCATCATCAACAAACACGTTGTAAACAAATTGATGTGGATTTGGAATGCGTTACAGCTGGAATGCTTATCCTGGTATGTTTTTGATATGGACTTTGAACTGAATTTTTTTTCTTTCCCGACACATGATGCGAATAAAACGAGATTCTCGCACCTGAACGATCGTGTACTGGTTTGCGACATGGCAATTGTTCTGAAGACAACTACCGTCTAACCTTCTGGAGGAGTTTGAACATGGCTTTTGTAAAATTTACAGATTAGCCTGCCTTAAGCCCTTTAATGTAATTATGCTAAGGCGATAAGCTGGTTTGCCCGAGTGGTCTAAGGGGGGTGACTTAAGATCACCTGCATTTCAATGCGCGTGGGTTCGAACCCCACAGCCAGCAAATTATAGTTTTGGAATCTGTATCTCAACTAGAAACTTTATGAGCGCTAGATTAGAAATAGTAGTATGACTAAAAATGTAAAATGTCGTATACACGCAGCAATTTTGTTACATTTTCTCCGATACTCTGGAATTCCTTGGCGAGCACTTCAAAAGAAACTGATTCCATCCCACAAGATTCACACACCACAAACAGGGACTCCATCGTTGCCGCGTGCTTAATGCTACTGGCAGCAATTGCTAGTCAAAGTGATGCTTCCTTCCACACCGGCGATGGCGAGCTCCACAGTACCAGACCCGAGCCCGTAAGGAAGAGAACAACTTGTTTACCTTTCGTTTTCCTTCGACAGAAATATATCGTATACACCAGAGGGAAGAGAGAGGATGTGGATTCTGCCACAGTTTTTTCGTCACTCGCCAGCATGCTTGCACGAATCCTGGGAAGCGATGGGATTCACCTACAAGATGGCGCTCACTGAATTCTCAGCATGGCTTACGGAAGACCAGGCCGAGATTCTTTCAAGTAATAAATCAAGTTTACCTCGATGAGTGAAGATCTCGTTAATTTGGAGAGTGAAAGCAGGTACACCGAGTGTTGTCAAGGTCTTTCCAAATAGAATGCTGCAACTCCAGACGACGCACTCGTGGGATTTCATTGGAATGCCGAACGTAACAATTCCTTGAAAGAATGAATCCAAAAACGCGCTACCAGCAGCTGATGTTATCGTTGGAGTTCTAGACACAGGTATAAAATCAGCTCAAGTCGGCCATGAGATCTCTCCAAGAACTTACTCGTGAGTGATATGACAAGGATATGGCCTGAAGCCAAGAGCTTTTCCGATGCTGGGATGAGCGAAGCACCAGCTCGATGGAAAGGAACCTGTAACAACAAAGCTGCAACAAGGAAATTTCGAGCTCACCTTTTAGAGACGATCTATAACTTGTTCAGCAGGAAGTTGGTTGGAGCTCGCAACTACATGATCTATGGCAACTTCATAAACGCGAGGGACGAAGTTGGGCACGGGACACACACAACTTCCACCATCGCCGGAGCTCTGGTCCTTCAAGTGAGTGAGTTTGGACTGGGGGCCGGAACAGCGAGAGGAGGAGTTTGCAGAGTTGCAGCGTACAGAGTTTGTTTCTTGTTCGGTTGTCCCAGCCAGCGACGGCATCCTTGCCTGCCATCGATGACGGCGTAGATATCTTATCGGTGTCTCTCGGAGGATTCCCTTCAGCTTATGACGAGGACCCCAATGCTATCGGTTCGTTCCACGCCATAGAAAGGAAAATCTTGGCATCATGAGGAAACGCCGGGCCGGCTGCATCGTCTGTGTACCTTGGATTCTCACGGTCGCTGTGAGCACTATAGACAGACATTTTTCAGTAGACATCAAACTCGGCAACGGTAAAACACTATAGGTAGAAAAAGAAAGAAGAACTATCCGTCAATGACAATCCCGGAGCTCAAGAGCCAGACCAGCGTGGTAAGCACAGTGACTAATGTGGGAGCTCCAAAATCCGTGTACCGAGCGATCGGATCCCCGCCTCTCGGAATCGAGCTGATCGTGTCGCCTGGAACGCTGGTGTTCAATGCCACCGGACAGAAGATCGACTACAGCCTGACGTTCGTACCGCTTCCAACGCTATCCAAGAACTGGGCATTTGGAGAGCTCATCTGGACGAGCCGTGAAGGGCTAAAGATTTTCTCCCGTCCAAATTTGACGGCCGAGATTGCCGATCTGGACGGCTCAGATGTCGAATATATAAATGTGCCTAAAATTAAGAGGCCTGGTGCTAGAAGGTCCCAGGTTCGAGGCCTGCATAGGCCAATTTCCAATCCGGTTTGACACTCTTCAGTAACACTTTCCTTGGATCTTTTCAAAGCGTTTCGTCTCCTCGTACGTGCCAGTCAGGATGTTTGAAAGGAGAATCTAACATCCTAAGAGAAACCAAATTACAACTCAATTAGACATATCTCAAGCAACTGTGAGGAGCTCAGGCTCTCAGAGAGCCCTCAGCAGCTGTGCAATGTTTGAGTTTATAAAATGATCATGCACGAGCTCATAACAAAGAATTTATCATGTAGCAACCTTGGCGTTATTAGCACCACGCTCTGACCAGCTGAGATAATAGGCCTCTTACAGAAAATTGTCTTCCTTGAACCGCTGGAAATCAAATCGACTTTCTAGCGAAGCTGGATGGCAGAAACGTTGGCGACTCGCGTTTGGACGAGAGCTGGATCGTCTCTTGGAGATGTCTCGGTCGCTGCCGCTTAAATGCTTATAAGAAAGAAGCCTTGGTTTTTAGAACTTTCCTTGAGAGAACGATGGTTTTCGGGCCATCATTTCTACTTTACTTCCATTCTGCGGAAAAATATCTCACCACTCGTATACAACAGTTGACGACGTGCGTACTTTTCCCTGAGACTGAGAAAAAAATAAGATTGGTCAGTTGCGACAAATCACACAAGAGAATGGTAGCTTTCACCTCTAGTATTGGAAGCTTTTGAAGGCGGTGTGCGTGCTTCTCCCTGCCATCTCGTCCCTAGTGTATAAGTCAATAAATAATACGTAACTAAAGACCAGAGGGATTACAACACCTTAATTCCTACGTTCGTGTTAAGCGACACTCCATCCATTGGAAACTCCATCGTCCGTTTTGTCATCCTGCCGGACAAAAGCGCTTTAAAAAGAGTTCGCAGATTCGCAGATTCACTCACCACAGACATGGACTCCTCCCACGGAGCCATCCTCGTCGCGTGCTTGCTACTGGCAGCGGTTGCAAACCAAAGTGATGCTTATTTCCACACCGGCGATGGCGGGATCCAAGGTGCCAGAAGCGAGCTGAGAGCTGGAAACAAGCAGGCAAGTTTAAGATGACTCGTAAGAAAGTAGAAACTTATTACCTTTCGTTTTTTTCTTTAATCATTCCAGAAATATGTTGTATACACCGGAGGGAAGAGAGAGGATGTGGATCCTGCAACAGTTGTTTCATCGCTCGCGAGCATGCTTGCAGGAATCGTCGGAAGCGACGATGAAGCCACAGCTTCTATGGGATTCACCTACAAGAAGGCGTTCACAGGATTCTCAGCATGGCTTACTGAAGACCAGGCCGAAACTCTTTCAGGTGATGAATCAAATTTACCTCGAGTGAAGCTCTCATTGGTTTGACGTGTTGCAAAACAGCTACTCCGGGCGTTGTCAAGGTCTTCCCAAACAGAATGCTGCAACTCCAGACAACGCACTCGTGGGATTTCGTTGGAACGCCGAACGTAACAGTTCCTTCCAAGAATGAATCCAAAACGCTGCCCGCAGCAGCTGATGTTATCGTTGGAGTTCTAGACACAGGTAATCAATCAGCTTAAGTCGGCCATGATATCTTTTCAAACGCTTACTTGTGAGCTATAAATCAACAGGTGTCTGGCCCGAATCCAAGAGCTTTTCCGATGCTGGGATGAGCGAAGTACCAGCGCGATGGAAAGGAACCTGTGACAACAAAGGCGTCACCAATGCATCAGTGATCATCAACTGCAACAAGTAAAAGAAAAGTTCAAGCTCACCTTTTTCAAAAAAAGATCTATAACGTGTTCATCAGGAAGTTGATTGGAGCTCGCAACTACTTGACCGATGGCGAGTTCAAAAACGCGAGGGACGACGCCGGGCACGGAACACACACAACTTCCACCATCGGCGGAGCTCTCGTTCCTCAAGTGAGTGAGTTTGGACTGGGAGCCGGAACAGCGAGAGGAGGATTTCCAGGTGCCAGAGTCGCAATGTACAGAGTTTGTTCCGAAGCAGGTTGTGCCAGCGACGCCATCCTTGCTGCATTCGACGATGCCATCGATGACGGCGTAGATATCTTATCGTTGTCTCTCGGAGGATTACCTTTAGCTTATGACGAGGACCCCATTGCGATCGGTTCGTTCCACGCCATAGAAAGGAAAATCTTGGTATCATGCGCGGGAGGAAACTCCGGGCCGGCTGCATCCTCTGTGTCCAATGGTGCACCTTGGATTCTCACGGTCGCTGCAAGCACTATAGACAGACATTTTTCAGTAGACATCAAACTCGGCAACGATAAAACTCTACAGGTAAGAAAGAACTCTCTTTTGTCTTAAGCAAGATCATGCCTTTTTGTCTTTCACAGGGCACAGCTCTCAACTTCGAGAACATCACATCCGCTTCTTTGATCTTGGGTAAAGATGCAAGCTTAAGTTCTGCAAATTCCACACAAGCAAGGTTACGTAGTGTCTTCTTTCTTGAAAGTAAACTGACATTTTACCTCCACAGTCTTTGTCTTGTGACGGTTCTGGATCCGGCAAAAGTAAAAGGAAAGATTATTGTGTGCGAATTTGATCCTTTGGTGATCCCGACAATCATACTCTTAAAAAGCCTCAACAACTGGGGAGCTGCTGGAGTGATCCTCGGGAATGATGTGATCGCGGATATAGTACGATACTTCCCTCTGCCAGGAGCTTTCATCAAGAAAGCAGCGTTGAAAGATCTGCTTGCCTACACGAGTTCAAGGTGCTTGTTTAGTACGATCCTTATGAACCATGAGAAACTAACGTTGCAAAAACGCCTTGCAGCAACTCGACAGCAGCCACGATTTTTCCAACCAAAACAGTCCTCGATGTTGAACCTGCACCCACAGTCGCTGGCTTTTCATCAAGAGGACCTCACATAGAAAACCTGGACATTCTCAAGGTATATATACGTACCTCACCCCTCGGTTTCTTTTGGTAACAGTTTTTGCTTTTGGCAGCCCGATATCACCGCACCGGGTGTAAATATTTTAGCAGCATGGTCCGCCGCAGTACCAGTCTTCCTCGAAGATTTAGACGCCACTAAGCCCGTGTTCTCCGACTTTAACATCATTTCTGGAACGTCCATGGCATGCCCTCACGCTACTGGAGCTGCGGCGTATGTCAAGTCGATCCATCCTGACTGGAGTCCAGCGGCAATCAAGTCAGCACTAATGACCACAGGTAAATCAAAGGGAAAAAAAAAACAAGAGAGAAAAAAAATTCATACCTCAGTGCGTGATCTTCTTCCAGCAAAAAGAAAAATTTCCATACCTCGAGGCTGTTCTAAACTGTGTGATCTTCTTCTTCTTCCAGCGAAATCCGTTGACAACGAAAAGAAGCCTTTGAAAGACTTTGATGGAAGCGACGCAACTCCATTCGCGTTTGGAGCCGGCCAGATAAGTCCTCTCGACGCGGCAAATCCAGGACTCGTCTATGACACCAGCGTGGAGGAGTATCTCCTCCATCTCTGCGCGAGTGGATACAACGCCACGCAAATCGCCGTGATCTCTGGTCGCACCGTAAGGTGTCCCGAATCGCCTGGAGCACCAAAGTTAAACTATCCGTCAGTGACAATCCCGGAGCTCAAGAACCAGACCAGCGTGGTAAGAACAGTGACCAATGTAGGAGCTCCAAAATCCGTGTACCGAGCAATCGGATCCCCGCCTCTCGGAATCGAGCTGATCGTATCGCCTGGAACGCTGGCGTTCAATGCCACCGGACAGAAGATCGCCTACACCCTGACGTTCGTACCTCTTCAAAATCTATCCAAGAAATGGGCATTTGGAGAGCTCATCTGGACGAGCGATTCCATTTCCGTGAGAAGCCCTCTTGCTGTGAAGGGCTGAAGAACCCTAAAGATTTTCCCCCTCTAAATTTGACGGCTGAGATTGTCCGATCTCGACGGCTGAGATTTAAAGTGACGTTTTGCTCTGAATGGTCCAGATTTCAAGGCATTTCGAATATGCTGTTATACAAAATCTTTAAAATCGCGCGAAGGAAGTTAAAGAGAAGCGTTTTAGGCCGCAGCGACTGTTTGAGCTTTGGAGGTGATTTGCGTTTGGACATGCTGTGGCACGATCTCGAATTTGGAGAGCTGCATCGAGTAGCTTGCTCGTCCCTTTGTCATTCCTCGGAGATTACTCACGTACTGGAACATCTCCGCCAGTGGAACAAACGCATCCACAACCTGGAACCAAAGCAAACCGAGCTTAGATTCACTCTCACCAGAGAAGAAAAGCTATGAAGCGAAAGATTCGTGAGAAGAACCAGCCTTACCTTCAAGCCACCGGGCTTCTCTCCCAAGCTGTTGATCTGGCCTCTCCTCGAGTTTAAGTCTCCGATCACGTCTCCCATATGCTCCTCCGGCGTCACCACTTCCACCTTCATCACTGGTTCCAGAAGCTTGGGCCCCGCTTTGGGAATCCCCTCCCTGAAAGCTCCTCGAGCTGCGAGCTGGAACGCCAGGATACTGGAGTCGACGTCGTGGTAAGAGCCATCGACCAAGGTTGCTCGAAAGTCCACCACCGGGTAGCCTGCTAGGATCCCGTTGCTGATGCTGTCCTCGAGGCCTTTCACCACCCCCGGAACGTATTCCTTGGGAACGGTTCCACCTTTGATCTCGCTCTTGAATTCGTATCCGCTGCCAGGCTCCAGTGGCTCGAACTTAATCACAACCTCTGCGAACTGGCCTTGTCCTCCTGACTGTTTCTTGTGTACGTACTTCACCTCAGTTGGCTTGGAGATACTCTCGCGATAGTTCACTTGTGGAGCACCCACGTTAGCTTCCACCTGAATCAGAAAAGACTTTAGAACCACAATCTTGTAGCGAATTCACGAAGCAAACCTTGAACTCCCGTTTCAGCCTGTCAACGATGATTTCCAGATGGAGCTCTCCCATGCCTTCGATGACTGTTTGGTTTGTTTCGTCGTCTCTGGAGAAATGGAACGACGGATCCTCTTGCGCAAGCTTGATAAGGCCAGTTGACATCTTGTCGACATCAGCCTTCGTCTTTGGTTCTATTGCCACCTTGATGACGGGATCAGGGAAGTCCATTCTTTCCAGGATCACTGGCTTCTCTGGATCACACAGCGTCTCCCCTGTGATCGTGTCCTTCAAACCAGCGAGAGCTACGATGTCTCCAGTCACTGCAACCTTGACATCTTCCCGTGAGTTTGCGTGCATCTGGAGCAGACGCCCGATCCTCTCCTTCTTGTTCTTGTTCGCATTGAGGGCGTAAGATCCGGCCGTGAGAACGCCGGAGTAGACCCGCATGAACGTCAGTGCTCCAACAAAAGGATCTGTCATCACCTTGAAGGCCAGCCCCGAGAATGGTTCTTTGTCACATGGTTTTCGCTCGAGAACGACCTCCGGATCGTCCATGTCAGTCCCTTTGATCGAAGGCAACTCCACTGGGGAAGGAAGAAACTCTATCACCGCATCCAGCAGAGGCTGCACACCTTTGTTCTTGAATGCCGATCCGCAAAGAACTGGGACAAAGCTGTTTGAGATCGTTCCCTGCCGTATAAGTCTCTTGATGGTTGCTTCATCCGGCTCCACTCCTTCCAAGTACTGCTCCATAACTTCACCGTCTTGTTCCACCACCAGCTCGACAAGCTGTGCCCTGTAATCTTTCGCGTCCTTTGCCAAGTTGTCGGGAATCTCCTCGTAGCTAAACTTCGCACCTAGCTGTTCTCCGCTCCACAAAATAGCCTTCATGGTAATCAAATCGACCACCCCTTTGAATGTATCCTCTGCTCCTATCGGAAGCTGTAGTACCAGCGGTTTGGCTCCTAAGTTGCTGACGATCATGTCCCTCGTCCGGAAAAAATTGGCTCCCATCCTATCCATCTTATTTACAAAGCAGATCCTCGGCACCCCGTATTTGTCAGCCTGCCTCCACACGGTCTCTGACTGTGGCTCCACACCGGCAACGCTGTCGAAGAGGCAAATAGCCCCGTCCAAAACTCTGAGAGCTCGTTCCACCTCAAGAGTAAAGTCTACGTGCCCCGGAGTGTCAATGATGTTGATCCGATGGTTCTTCCACACGGCGGTTGTGGCAGCGGAAGTTATAGTAATGCCTCGTTCTCTTTCCTGTTCCATCCAGTCCATGGTCGCATTTCCTTCGTGAACTTCGCCGATCTTGTAGTTCTTGCCGGTGTAGTAAAGAATGCGCTCGGTTGTTGTAGTCTTGCCAGCGTCGATGTGAGCCATGATTCCAATGTTTCGGTAGTCCTCGAGTGGAAACTGTCGTGTATCTGTGTGAGAAAATAAATTGGATTGTAGGCAACCAGAAAAAGTATGAAGTGTATGAAAAGAAAAAATTTCTTGATAGAAGCAAGCAAAAAAAAAAAAAACTGTGGAACATTCTTTTCGTGCTATAGCTACGTAAATTTGCAAGAACACAAAGAAAATTCTTCGTGATAGAGGATATGACTATGATGCTCGCGTAAAATCTATAAACCAAGATGCCAATGAATTGCAACTCATAGCACGACCGACCATATCCAAAGGAACCAAGAAAAATCTCGATGACAAAAATCCATAGCTAGCTATGTAGAATCACAAAAGACTTACCGGAATCAGCCGCCATACACACAATCCCACGCCTCGCAGCATTGCAAGCCCGCGCATTCTTGGCCGCGCCATTCTGCCCTGAAAATCTGAGCCCTGGAAAGCCCCGGAGGGCCACAAACGGCGCTCTCGATTTGGCGCCGCAGCATAATCTCGCTTGCGAGCTCCCGGCGACGGATGAGCAAGATGGGGACTTCGCTGCTGGAAGAGTAGCGGCCGCTTGCGCCATCGCCATTGCCGCCTCGCTTATTCCCACACTGGCCCAATACGCTGGGAATGGATATAAAGGTATGGTTTTAAACCATATAGTGCGAGAAAATATAAATCGATTTATTGTGGTACATTGTGGATCTTCGCGGGTGGGTTGACGTTCGTCCACGTGGACGCTTGGAAGCCGATAAGAGAAGAGTGGGAGCTCGCAAGATTTGAGACGAGGACTTCCACGCTCCCGGACGCCAGACTCGGAGTAAAATCGCGTTAGTTACACGCGTCGCTTGTCGAGCCACGTGTTGACACGCGTCGAGCCAATAGACTTACAAGAAACCATACATTAGGGCAAGTTATTTCCTCACACAAGAGATTTGAAGAAGGCGGAGCTTTGGAAGCGCTAGAAGAGGTATGTTTTCTACTCGATCGCGATTCTTTCATTCTTCTTGGCCTTGGATAGCAAATGCGTGCTTAATCGCATTCTTGTGAGTAGTTCTTGGAATTAATTTGTGTGTTCTAAGATGTAGAAATGCTTGGGGGGTGTTTAGCTTGATTCTTTTGCTGATCTAATCTGTCGGTCTATTTGCTGCTTGAATCGCTTTAGCTATGGAAAGCCTGCCTTTTAGTCACTTATCTCTTGTTTTAGAGCATTTTCTCACAACTAAGTACTTACAGGTTAAGGAAAAATCCTTTTTTTTTCTCTCTTTCAACCCACAACGCACCAACAATCTAACTTCCAACGTGAAAAAAAATGAGCCAAGACCAGATGCAGCGACCAGTGACTTATGGAGACATTTTCAACGTTTCGGGAGAGATGGGTAAGCAGGCCATCACTTCCGAGGACGCGTCCTTGATGCAAAGCGCCGAGACTCAGGCTTTCGGTCAGACGCAGAAGCACGGCGCGGCATCGCTCATGCAAGCCGCGGCCGATCACAACGTGAAGACTGGAGCTCTTTCACCCGACGCTCACAGCCCGGTAGCAGACATCGGTGTGACTGTCCGAGAGACCGTCGTTCCTGGTGCCGCCATTGACACGGAGTTTGTAGCAAACGTTCCAGTCACCGGTGTGGTTCGTCCGTTGCCTACTGCTCCAGAGGTTGCTTCCGCCAATGCCGTCACCATTGGAGAGGTGAGAAAGTTCATAGAGTTCTCCATTTTTCTCTCGGTTTTCTTCCTGTGCTCTAGCTAAAGTTGCTCTGAGCAGGCTTTAGAGGCCGCAGCGCTGGGAGCAATCGACCAGCCGATCGAGCATAGCGACGCTTGCGCCATCCAGAGCGCCGAGACACGAGCAACTGGAGCTCCCGTGACGAGCAAGGGAGGTTTGTCTTCCACGGCACAGTCGGCCGCGGAACTTAATCCTCGGGTGGACGACTTTGCGAAGACAACCATTGGAGATCTCCTCACGGTAATCCTTATTCGTTGCTTCTCCCCGTTTCACTTGTTCCTTTTTTGTTTTGCCAGGATGCTACGACTTATCTTGCAACGGACAAAGTTGTAACGCAGGAGGACGCGATCAAAGTGATCGAAGCGGAAGCTCGTCACACTCCCACGGGATTGCCTCGTCCGGGAGGAGTAGGAGCAGCTATGCAGACCGCAGCCGATTTGAACGAACGAGCCGGACTTCTTCCGCCTTCGATTGTCTGAGATCGAGAGATTCTCTCCAAGTAAGCTTGCTGTGTATACGAGAGTGTATGTGTGAGGAAAGTGAGAACAGGAGAGGAGAGGAAGAAGAGATAACTGTTCATATATGTAGTTTCTAGATGTACTATCAAGCAGAAGAAGATTGTCACTCGAGCTTCGTCCCTCCCGATTTCCTAGGAAATCTGAGCCTCAGTTTCCTCGATGAGAGTCGCCAGTTGAGAGGAACTTGCGTGACTTTCTCCGCGCCGGTTGCTGTTTCCTCTTCCAAGCTCTCTTCAAAGTTTTCTTCGAAGTTCTTTAGATCTGGAGACCTTGGAACTGAGATGGATGAGAAAACTCACTAAACTTTACCTTGCTTGGGTTGGGAAGAAGAAGCGTTGCTCGCTCCGTAGAGAATGAGCAAACACAGGATCAAAAGCAGTGGAATGAGATGCAAGGCTTTGATCCTCCTGCTGCTAGCCATGCTCGACATTTCCTGTTTTACTAGAGCTTTGGTCGTGGAAGGAGGAAGAGGAGGCCTTGGAGGCCTCGAAGCACTGGCCATTCTCATAAAAAACTCTAGCTTTCCTAGAACGAAACACCAGACTCCTCCACACAGTCACGGCCGTTGCAAGCTTATGTAACATTCACGTAAGAAACTCTAAACAATGAGAAATAGTATACAAAGTTTTTGGAATCTGTGGCACTACTCGCAAAGGTATCGTTTTTGTGGAGACAAACAATGTTGGCGCTCCATGGCGCGCTCGCGAATGGGAACTCTTCCACGCGCTGGAGCTCATTCCCGGCAAAGAACCATCCTCAAGCCACACGTAAGTGATCAATCCAAGCTCTTGGAGACTTTAGTTTGCAAAGCCCTTGAATTTCTTCGCAGGGACGAGAATCCAAGTCGCAGCGAAGAAAAACAATGGCGATGGAGAAACCCAGTGTAAGATGTCAAAATTCTTTCTTCTCTGGAATTTGTCTTCTCGTGGTTTTTTCTTTGTTCTTCTTCTCCAGCTAACAGCTTTGGCGTGATCGGAGACCTCCTCGCAAAATGGACCGAGAAGTGGAGTTCACAAAAAGCAGAGAAACAATTTCCCGTGGCTCGAGCAGACGTGAGAGCCATCGCTGGAGAGCCATTTTTCGTGCCGCTCTACAACTTGTACATCCAGCATGGTGGGATTTTCAGGCTCTCGTTTGGGCCAAAGGTACTTCGAAAAAGTCTGTCTATGATTCCATGGCTCTCAACTTGTTCTTTCAGTCTTTTATCATCGTCTCCGACCCGCAAGTCACGAAACACGTTCTCAAGGACAATGCAAAGTCCTACTCCAAGGTCCGAGCGTTCGATCTTTTTCTTTTTTACTCTGTTCTCTTGTCTTTGCGTAAGATCCATAGCTCATTCTCAAAGTTACAGGGAATCTTGGCAGAAATCCTCAAGTTCGTCATGGGAACCGGACTTATTCCTGCTGATGGAGAAATCTGGCGAGCGCGAAGAAGAGCGATAGTTCCATCGTTGCATCGAAAGGTATACCGATATCCCTTCTCAAAGGTGTTCAAGCTCACGTTTTCATTCTACGCAGTACGTGGAGAAAATGATAGAACTGTTTGGAAGAGCAAGCTTGAGGCTCTGTGACAAGCTTGATGCAGCAGCAAGCAAGGAAATCTCGGCCGAGATGGAGTCACTCTTCTCGAGATTGACGCTCGATATCATTGGAAAGGCAGTGTTTAACTACGAGTTTGATTCTTTGTCTACAGACACGGGGATAGTAGAGGTACGATTCCTTACATTTGTTGTTCTTGACACTTACACCATTTTTCTTCTTTTGTTCTTCTTTCTTGTGATGACTAAAACTTTTGATCTTGCGTGTAGGCAGTGTACACTCTTTTGCGAGAGGCCGAAGCTCGAAGCACTGCTGTAATTCCTTACTGGAATTTACCATTTGCTACGAGCATTTTCCCGAGACAGAAGAAAGTAGCAGTGGCATTGACGCTGGTGAACAAAAGCCTGGACGAATTGATCTCGACTTGCAAGGTTTGCCAGTCGATTGGTTATATGGTTTGCTTGTTCTCAATCCTCTGTGTAGAGTCTGGTAGATCAAGAGGACGATCTCTTCCATGAAGAGTATGTGAGCGATCGGGACCCAAGTATCTTACACTTTCTTCTAGTGTCAGGAGAGGAAGTGAGCATTCTTTGATCGTTACTTAGAGTTTGTAGTAACAAAACTGATGGAGTTCCATCAGGTTTCTAGCCAGCAGCTACGAGACGACTTGATGACAATGCTGATTGCGGGTCATGAAACTTCTGCCGCGGTTTTAACTTGGACACTACATCTTCTAATCCAGGTGAGCTACCTTCGTCTTTTACAAGAGGAAGACGATGGAAAAAAAAAAGAAAAAAGCCCAGGAGAGAAAAAGAATCTAACTGATGAGATGAAATGTGTTAAAAGAATCCAGCAGCCATGACAAAGCTTCAAGCCGAGGTAGAATTCTTCTATCTTTCCAAAGTTTAGACTACAAGTTCTTCAAATTTTCAGGTTGATGCTGTTCTAGGGGACAAATGCCCGACTCTGGAGAATTTGAAGCATCTCAAGTTCACAAAACGAGTCATTAACGAGGTAAGTTACTATCCATTGCTTTCAACGTTAGCAAAAAACTTCCTTTTTCTCTGGCAGTCCTTGCGGCTTTACCCGCAGCCTCCAGTGTTGATAAGAAGATCACTCCAGGACGATGTACTCGCAGGCTATCCACTTAAAAGGTTTTCCAAACACTCCCTCGTTATCTCTTGCTCATACTTCTCAACTTCATCCATGTTTGCGTGTAGAGGAGAGGACATTTTCATATCTCTATGGAACTTGCATCGCTCTCCATCGCTATGGGAGCACTCTCACGAGTTTAGACCCGAGAGGTGGCCTCTGGATGGGCCAGATCCAAACGAAGTCACAGAGAATTTCAAGTAAGATAAAGTATTGTGAAGTTCGCTTCTTGGATCAAGCCATTCGGTTTTCTCAGGTACTTGCCGTTTGGAGGCGGCCCTCGCAAGTGTGTTGGTGATATGTTTGCCACATTCGAGGTAAAACTGATCACTGCCTCTTTAACTTCTTAATGAAAATCCGTGTGCTTTGCTCTAGACTGTCACGGCAGTAGCGATGCTTGTTCGTCGTTTTGATTTCAAGCTGGCCCAAGGAGCTCCACCAGTGAAGATTTCTCCTTTTTTTCTCTTTTGCTCAGATGATTCAACTAACGTTTCTTCATAGGTGGGAATGACTACCGGAGCAACCATTCACACCACCGCAGGTCTCCATGTAGCCGTGACAAAAAGGATCGCTACTCCCAGTGTCCAGAAAATTAAACAACTCCAAAGTTGATACATTTTCACAAAAACAAAATGAGAAAAAGTTGGATACTATGATATCAATCTAACGATTGTGATTCTTTGCTCTTTACTTTATCAAACCATATTTACATTCAAAAGGTAGAAAGATTTGTTTTGTCTAGTAATTGAAACTCCAACAACATCATATACTGATCTTCATTGAAGAATCACCACCACTACATGCATGTAAACCTTATATTGTTTTATTGGTCTAGACACCAAACGGGGTCTTACCAGTCATAAACTTTAAATCCCACATTCTCTTCCATATAAAATCAACATGATGTGCAAGAACTATTTGACGTACTTGTTCACAAGCTAAAGTTAGCAGCTGTGTTTCACTCCTCCTTACCTTCCAGCAATATACTATTAGTATTTGAGAAGCATCAGATGTCCAGGACACAAAGGAAGGGGCTTGCTGGCCATCCAAAACGGGCATGTTTTGTAAAGGCCGAGACATCTTATCTATGTGAGGAAACTGATAACCTCTAGCTCTCCTTGGAAATCATAGTGTTTATGAGAATCATTTGGATTGAATGTTCCTCCTTTGAGACTACAAAGCCAAGGATTCTTTATGCTGTCAATTTTATTTGCATAAAATAGAGCAAACCATAACCAGCTATCCTGATGATGATTAATCATCACTAATGATTTCAAGATGTGGAAAAAAATTGAGCAGGCAGAATGTTTTCTTTAATAACTCTTAACAAAAGGGAAAAATGAACATAACAACTAAGTTTGAAGAATTAATATTAAACTTTTAGATAATAATGATTATAAATTCTGTATCAACTAATTCTAATGCAACCCATAATGTGAGATCTCTTCAACACATCCATAAACCAAAAGTTTATAATGAAAAAGCCAATGATTGCATCAATTTAAAAATTAAACACGATAAGTTATGCTCAACAAATTATGATCCTTTATGGATCCATCTTCTACATCAAAACTTCATAACAAACAAGTCTTAATAAAAAGTCTTTAAGTCTTGATAAACATTATTAATAATAAATTATCCCAAGTTAAATTTAACATAAATGAACAATTAACTGCTATGTAAAACTAAACTACTTTTTGAAGAAAAGCCAAAGCTTAAACCTCTTTGTAATTTTGTCTAATTTACTACTCTGTTTATTTAAACACCAATATAATTAGAAAATTCACTAATGTTAACAATGATACTACTTTGCAAGTAGACTACCACCACCATAAACACTTCATAAGTATATTATTATATCACAAGGATATAATACATAAATCACAATGACTTAATCACTAATCAAGTAATACCACAAGCAAAGCCATATCACTACTATAAAGGTTTATATTGTATTAAGTACTTAATAATAAAATGCAATATAAATGCTATACCTTTTACAACAGCCAATAAAACAATATAATATTATCCTTTTTCCCACTAAACTCAAAACTAATTTAACACCAAATTACTTAAGAAGAAATAGTAAAGTTCCTAAAAAAAAACTGAGCATTGCAACTTAATCCCTTTAATAGCAAGTTTAAGCAAAACAATTTAGAACTTATCACAACTAAATGCATCAAAGTAGGAATCTTGATTGCATGATTTGAAAATAAGCAATAAAATCATGTTTTGTTGTTATTTAATCCTTCATCTTCAATAACTCTGTTTTTTAGTCTCAACTTTGACTAAATACTTTTGCATTACTTTAAATTCAATCTCAAAAATGTTTATGGGAAAGTACTGCAAACTACTTGAACTTGCCCCAAGACACCGCAAGAAGATGTCTTCATCATTCTCCTAGGAAATCTTGATAACCTTTTGAGAATGATCTCAGTGCTATTTTCCTCAATATGACTTAAGTTAGTATTATTAACAAGAACTTGAGATCGATCAGTAATTTTTTTCATTATAGCGATAAATATTTTGTGAAATACCTCTGGCCAACTATAAAAACCAATAGATCAAATGCTTAAACTAGGCATTTCTTATATGTGAAAATACAAAATAAAAACCCCTTTACAACAGGTTCAACTTCCTTGAAGTCACTGACATAAATTTCTAGAATTTATCATCACTTGAACAAAAGTGAAAATGTTAACTATTTAACCACCCTTTAAAAAAAAGTAGAATGTTATTGCTAAATTGACAAAATAGTTTTCATGTGTCTAACTATAAAGGTAATTCAGTATTAAGCCCTGGATATCTTATACTAAATAAGACTGTGTTGGCTGATTATAGGAATGAAGAAAAGAGCAATCATTACTATTAATATAAAACTAAATAAATCTAATGCAAAGCTCAATATTCATTTATAAATATCTATATATTATCTTAAACAATTCTGGTGATTATATGTTTTTGTATCCCATATTACACTGTGTGGTCTAATTGAATTATATATTACAAAATTACAGTCATTTTGTATAATTGAGTATGTAAAAATTAAACAATTTGAACAATAATATTGTATTGACCATAAAGCTTTATTCTTCTCAGTATATATCACAGAATTTCCATCAATTTGGGTTTTCCAATAACAAAATTTAAAATAATCTTCAGAATTACTAGATTGCCACAAACGATATTTTCCTGAATAAAGTGTAGCTTTACAGTTTGATCCAATATAAAATATATTTTTACCATTTTCAGATATTAACATTTGTTCTTTATAAAGGATATTATTTTTAAAACCAGCATTTAAAGTGCTTTTAGTTGTATCACATCTGATATATCCTTGATAACTATATGAGTGCAAATTAGTAATAAGTTTTATTTGATTGTTACTAAACCATAAAAGAAAATTATATTCAAGTATATATATATCACCCACAATTTTACAAGATTTTGAACCAGTCTGGATCATAATCATTTTATAGAAATTTAACTTACGTCCAAAATTTTGTTTTAGCGCTTGACCAACAATAGTATTAGTTTCAGTTGAACATGTTGACTGTGCTAAACCAGTGCGTTTAATTCTTACGGCAACGGCTCCTCTACTAAAATCTACATAAGTGAAATCATTAAAATCTGGTGGATAATCACCATATGTTTGAATTTTTTTAATAAGAAATTGGAAACCATGTTTTATAATATACTTCATCTCATTTTCAGTAAAAGTATTATTTTCTCCCCATTCAACATATCCCATACAATAAACATTACAAATGAAAGTAATCAGAAAGAAAACAACAATAGCCATTAATAATCGACAATAACAAGTTTATGGTGCTGATATACCAAGGCTCTTTGTCTTTTCCACCTTTTTCTAAAGTTTATATATACATGTTGCTCATGTTGATCGATCCCCAGACAGCTCCCTACCCGTTAAGAACCGTGGGCATTGTCTCCCGTACAACGATCATCTTGGGTTACCATGCTCCGACCATCTTGGACGAGAGCCGGGCTGGAGCAAGCGGTTAGGATCGTCACCATAGCCTTGATACACCCAGTAGCAAAGTTGCCATGGAAAGCGTGGCCACAACAGACGTAATATTGGATTTTAGAACACTTACAATGTCTTTTTATCGATTCTCCAAGAAAAATAACATCATTCCATCACGTATTCAATTTACTTGAAGATCGCAGTCCTGTTACCAGACTTTGGAAACACGGTCCTCCTCTTCCCGCCTTGCAGGACACCGTTTAGCTTTGGTTCGGCACTCACGGCCGGATCGAAGTGAGGCTCTCTCTTGTCCCGCTTCACGCTGAACGGCGTCACCTCGGCCTCGTCTTTGGCACCAGCGTCACCGGTCGCGGAGTCGCTTGCTCGCTTCCGGCCCTTTCTCATCCGTTCTCTCTTCCTGTTCTGCTGCTGCTTGCCGCTACCACCGTAACGTTCGTTGAGCGAGAGAGGTAGCTCGCTTGCTCCGGGATCTCTCGTAGCAGGCGTACCATCTTCGTCGCCTTGATCAGCCCCGGCTTGATCCACCCCCGTGGTGTCCTTGGTTTCGTTATCGCCATCTTCAAGCAATATTACTTCTTCCAGATTGGAGACCGGGCCAGTAACTTCCACCACCGGAGAACAGATCTCCAATGCCGCCACTGAGCTAGTCTTCCCGTCGGGAACAATCTGCTGTTCCTCCATAGGGACTGCCTTGACGCTCGGGAACGAGAGTGAAGCCCGTATGGCCAGAGCTTTTGCCATCGCCTCTTCATCGTCGTCTTCGTCGCTATCGAGATGTGCGGAGGAAGCCCGGAAGAGTGCGTCTGCGACTGATGACCTCTTGACTTGCATCGTAGGCACAGTCTCTTGTTGTAGCTTCGCAGCGGACGTTTCCAAGGCTTCTTCAACGGTTTCGAAACCTGGTTCATCGAACACGGCAAGCGAAGTGCCTTCCGGGACCGATGGAACCGTCTTCACAGTGGTCACCACGTCAAGCTGTTGGACAAAATGTTCGGTGGCTGCCGGACTGGTTGGCACCATTGTATCGTTGATTTCGCCTTCTTCAACTTCTTCTGGTTTGGATGGCTCTGGAACTGGTACTGGTTGCTGCGTGACAACGGTCTTTGCCGCGTCTCGAATCACTTTCAGAAGAGCAGCTGAGTGAAAGGCCGCAACAGGGTGCCCACGCCTTAAAATTCCTTGTAGCCTTTTCACATCTTGAGGAGCATCCTCAGCTGTATTCATCACTATGTCAAGTACCTGAACTGTAATAATAAGAAGCACATACCAAGACGGAACAGTAGACTATTAGGTAGAATGTATCCAGTGCTTTCGTCTTCGCTTCGACAAAGTTTGTCCCTCCAAGCGTACAATCCCTGAAAATTCAAAGACGTTAGGCTGCAACTAATTTAATAACCCAAATGACTTACAGCAACTATCGCAAGTTTCTCAGGGGTCAAGTTCTTTTCGGCTAGCCTGTACAGTGAAATCCAATATTTCAAATGAACAATTGCTGTCAAATACGTACCCATAAATATGCAAAAACGAGCTTTCAGTGAAGAGTTCCTTCTCATACAATTGTAAGCAAAGGTCGCGGCTCCGTTGACAGACCTGAAATAATATCCATAATGATACCAAAATAGTAACAAAAACAACGCCCCTACCTCCAGATAAAGGTCCTCAGTAGTTTCTGCGTCTCGAAGCAGCCCCTTCATCTTGTCATAAACGTACAGCAAGTAATGTGTGTCCTCTCTCGCATACCTGAGAAAGAAAGGCGAACAATTACTTGGAAATGAAAAAGGAAACGGCTTACTTTAACATTTCAGCACTGAGTGGACGAAGTCTCCAATCGGCAAGCTGATACCTGACACCATGTTATAATAAACCCCAAATCCTTTAGAGAAACTAATTTAAAAACCGCTTATCAGGAGTAACTTCACAAAATGTCTGCAGTAAAAAAGCCAATCCAAATCTCTCCATCCGCAACACTCTCGCGGCCTACATCAGTCGATAAGAAGGAAGCCAAAGCACATTAGATACTAACAGACCTGACCAGTGTCGAACAAGTTACACACGTAAATGCCAAAATCCCGTTGAAGCCACAGAATATCACGGTCTGATCCATGTATGACCTGCACTGAAGTGCTCAAATCTCTGTACAGCAGATGAAACAGAAATACCTTTCGGATAGAAGGATTTGCGAAGACACTTCTCAAGACTGGGCCAATATGGCTTCTGAGAACCAAGGTATCCACAATAAAGTCTTGGGAACGCGTAGAGACTTGCATTAAGCATACAAAGCCTTGAAAAGACCGATAGTGATGATTTTCCAGGTCCACCTACATGAACAAGAGTATCCAGTTAACAAGAATGAGCAAAAGAAACAAGTACGGTACCGCGATTTCGGAACTCGCACGCAGCTTCGCAGCCATCGTCTCTAAAGCCGGAAGGCTTTCCACGATAAACAATGGCGTCTCACTCAAAGACTTTGGTTTCACAGGCTCATCAGGTCCATCAGCAGGAAACTCCTTCATATACTCCATACTTGTCAGCTCCTCCTGCAACAAAATCCTGTCAATCATGTTGTAAGTCAAAACCACGCAAATGGCTTTAAACAATGGAATTAGAGACATGTATCTCACCTTGAGAGGATGCACAGCCGGTGTCTCCATCAAACCCAAGCTCTTAGCATGAAGCTCGAGTGCTGACTGAGGCTTGGCACTTCCAGTCTCCTCCATAGCCATAGCCTGTGACCGACCCAGCAGCACCTCTCTAGACAGATGCTTGAAAGGCGAGTTGGAGTTATCAGCCGGGTAGTCGAACTTGTCCTGTGGGCGAGGAAGAGACCTGACATGAAAAGGAACTGGAAGCCGCTCCTTCTTCTGAGAAGCCACTTTCACAGCTCTCTGCGACGTGGTGGAGGATTTACTCTCGCTCGCATTGCCGCTCGCAAAAGGAGCGTTCTTTTTCTTGCCCTTGCGGAGAAGAAAATCCGGCGGTCTCTTCCCAGCTCCCAGGCCCAATTCATCCAGAGCCGATCCAACGCCTTCCAGAACATCGTCTTGGACACCAACAAGCCAGTCGTATGATTCCTCCACATCCGCCGGCCACGCCGATGCCTCGGATCTAAGCTTCTTGCACGTACCGATCTCGGAGAGCAGCGCCTGGGCGCGCGCATTCATGCTCGCCACGGGCCCCCGGAAATTCGAGAAATTGGAGTAGTAGTGGAAATCCTCGGCCGCGGGAATCCTCCGCGACAGGAGCTCCACATCCTTGATCGCGACCTGGAGCGGCGCAATGCAGGCCTCGATCGCCTGGGCTTGGCGCCGCAGCTCGTCCTCCTCCATCGCTAAAGCCCTAGAAAAGTAGAAACCCTAAAATATATTTTCCATTTGATACTTTTAGGGCTTTCGTATAGCCCTAATTTTGTTCTTCCATCGCGCGAGGCGAAATCGAGAGCGCTTGATCGAGCGAGGATGGTGTGCGACAAGTGTAAGTAAGCCCTCTCTCTCGATTCTTTCCAATGCTGAGATGGAGCTCTCGGATCTTGATGGATAGGCGTCAAGAAATTGGGCAAGGTCGTGGTTCCAGACAAATGGAAGGACGGCGCGAGCAACACAATCCAAAGCGGCGGCCAGAAGATCAATGAGAACAAGCTGCTATCCAAGAAGCACAGGTTTCTTGCAAAATTTCTCCTCTTTTCATTCAAGCTCTTACGTTTTCTTCTTTGGTTCTCTAAAACTTTGTCTAGATGGACGCCCTATGGAACAACAAAATGTGTCATTTGCAAGCAGCAGCTCCACCAGGACGCAAAGTACTGCCAGTCGTGTTCCTACAAGAAAGGTATCCTTCTCTTTCTTTTTCACTTTGTGTGTGCTTTCGTTCCCTCTTGTGATTCCTCTAAGAACTTTGTATCGTTGGGATTGACAGGAGTGTGTGCTATGTGCGGGAAGCAAATTCTCGACACATCCATCTACAAGCAGAGCAATGTTTGAGTAACTCCACTGTACAGTAAGTCCTGTTCTTCGATTTTATCCACCAGTGTTAATAGTAGCTACCTTGAAAGTTCTTTTTTGTGGTTTAACCTTGCTCTCTGGGAATCGTCGCTTCGCGAAAAGCTGTCACTGATGGAGTCCCAGCAGAGCGTGTTGCCAGATCCATCGCTCAGGATGCTCGCAAGAGAAGCTTGCTCGAGACTTAAGCCTTCCCCCGAGCCAGAAACATGGGCGATTCCTTGGCCTGAGCTGTGAGATCGTCCAGAAACTTTTCCATAGCTTCAAACTTTAGGATTCTTCCATCTATATACAACTATCGATCGTTTGTACAAGCTTGAGAATTCGATCACGCCTTTACCAGTATCTATCTTTGTTGACGCTGAAGAAGCCAACCTTGAGCTTCCCACCCGTGAGCCTCAATCCATCGATCAAGAAGCTCCAAGTCGAGCCCAGCCCTCCAACAAAGTGATCACAGTCCACGGCCATCAAGAGATTGACAAACGCGTTGTTACTGCTCAGTCTCGTCCCCAAGCTCCTCTCGTAGTCACCCATGCGTGTTGTTCCATTTTGCCTCGCCACCTTTGTGAAATAGAAGCTCCAGTACGTAAAGTTTGACACTGCCTCATCCACAACACTCTAGAACGAGAAAACCAAGTTAAATCGATGACGGATTTCGAGGGACTCCTTACTTGCATTTCTGTGGAGAGCCAGATGCCTTTGATATCGGGGAATCTTGCTCGGATCATCTCGGCCAGAGCCATATGCGACTTTAGATCGAAGATTTTCATCTCCGCAGCTTTGTCACCTTGTCTTACGTGAAGGCTTATGAGAGGTCTTGGTATCCATGGCCTGTGCTTTGCCCACAACAATTTCATAACATCACGCTGATTAATCACCTGATAGAAATCTTAGAGATCGATGGAACATTGCAAAAATGATTGAAGATTCTACCTTTCGCCAGTTCTTTTGTGAGCTTTGAATGACAGCTTGAGCAGCCTCTTTCCCAAATGCTTTATGCCTGGCCCCATTGAGGAGGATACAAGTGTACTCACTGGAAAATCTCATGTAATATCTCACTGCCTACAAAATAAAAACAATAATATCTATAGAAAATAATAATTTGGAGAAAAAACTATATAAAATAACCTGAGCTCTCCACCACTGTCGGTCCATGCCTTTGTGTGTAGTAAGAAGCTCCCCATCCACCACGTCAAATGTTTGCATGGTTTCCCATGGTCTTCCCCAATACCTGGAATGCATTGTAGTGAAAATATTAGAGTCAATATCTTTGATCAATTGATAGCTATGATCCTTACTCTGGAACAGGTCCCGTCCACACCGAAGTTCGAGAAAAATTGTCAAGACCAACGATTGTCCCTTGGTTCCATGCCTTGACATCGCCCTCGAGCTCCATCGCCCGAGCTCGGCATTCCTCCGAAGTCTCGGGAACAAAGTAACACGACCATCGTCCATGCGCAGCTCCTATACGATTGAAATAAACAAGAGAAGATCTTCGAGAAGATCATCTCATACCTTTGCAATCTTCGTGCTTGGCTCGATCAAAGTCTGTTAGAACGAGAACCCTCTTTTCTCGCAAAGCAATGGCCAGGATCCCGGCCATTGCCACAAGCTCGGCTCCGAGGCCCAGTCCCCGGCTGTTTAGCCAGTTTGTCACCAGAAACTTCACGCTGGGATCAGTACAATTTTTTGGATGCTGGTGGCGCCACAAATCTCGTTGGACTGCTCGGGTCAGTGGCAGATTGTCCTCGTCGCCACCTTTGATCTGTTCGAACAGTAGAAAAAACAGAATAAAAAAAAGATTCAAGCCAAAGTTAGATCGTACCCAAGGTGGATAGAGATTTTTTATGGAACGCTTTGTGGAGTTCTTGATCATGAGCTCCAATTCCAATTCCTCATCCTCCCTGCTCCACAGTGGTGGTCTTCCATTTGCATCGCGATTGTCAAATTCCATCCACTCCAGTGCCTGCTGTTGACAATTTTCCAAGTGTGGAGCAACTGGAAAACTCTTGCTGGTGCTTAGAGAAGTTCCATTTAAGCTACATGATTCTTTCCATAGCTTCATCAAATCATCCACATGAGATTCTCTACAATCAACATCGTTGCTCTGAAATGGTAGCCGGAAAAATTTCGTTGGAGCTATGGAACCACAATTCACAATTCACATCATGACATTGAATCAATTTATACTTACGAGTCGCCCAAAGGAGGAATAGAACAACAATCGGGAAAAGAACCATGGATTTCCGAAAGAACCCCTCCAACAAATCGATCTCTTGCTTGACTCCAGGTCCAGATTTCATGCTCATTGTCGCTCGAGCCCTCCACACTCCAAAACGGATTATATCCGATGGTCATGACTCAAACATATACATGAGATCCGACGGCTATAATTCAAACAGGACTTGTACGCGAGAGGTTCCTTCGTTTTAGTGCGCGAGGGGCCCTCTTTCCTACACTCACCTGAAAGGAAAACTTTTCAGTGTCTCAGGAGGTGTCATTGTTATATGGATTGAAACTTCAGACGTCTATGTTTCACCTAATGGTTGGAAAATCGTTGATCTACCTTGTAAAATTGATTGAATTCTAGTCTTTGTTTGGAAAATGGGGTCTGGTATCTGGAATTTTTGTGGGTAATTCTGTCAAGCTTTTGTCTCACGGGTCAAGGAAGTCCAGCTATCTACTGGCACAAAGTTGATGGACTATAGATATCCTATCAAAGAACCAACCCAAAGAGGGTCCCTCGAACTTAAATATCTTTTTTCTCAGGAAATCTCCGTGAAACATTAATTTAGCAAAAAATTAATTGAAAAAACAATGAGAAACTTATCAAGTTGTTATATGGTTACCAGTATCTATCCTTGTTGACGCTGAGGAATCCAGCTCGCAGTTTGCCACCAGTAGCTCTCATTGCATCAATGAGGAAGCTCCACGTCGAGCCCAGAGCGCCCACAAAAAAATCACACTCACTAGCCATGACAAAGTTGACAAAGGCATTGTTGCTGCTCGCTTTCACTCCCAAGCTTCTCTCATATGCCCCCATACTTGTAGTTCCATTTTGTCTTGGGATGTCTGTGTAGTGAAACCTCCAGTTCGTGTAGTTTTTTGACTCGTCAATAACATTCTTATATAGATCAAACAAAAATTCTCTTAGATGAAAATTGGAGATGTCAAGCATGTAATATAATTTTGTTACCTGCATTTCTGTTGAAAGCCATATTTCTTGAAGTTGAGGAAATTGAGTTTGGATTTTTTGAGCCAGCTCCATGTATGATTTAAAGCTAAAGATTTTCATCTCTGAAGCCTTATCCCCTTGTCTAACGTGAACACTCAACATTGGCCTTGGTAGCCATGGCTTCGGAGTTGTCCAAATTTTCTCTCGAAGGCTTGCCTGCTGATCCTGCTGCTAAATTTCAAATAAATGACATTTGTTGCAAAAGAAGTTGGAAATATTATTCTTCACCTCTGAGCCAGGCCAGTTTGTAGGGAGAGTTTTAATAGTTAATTCTGCTGCTTGCCTGCCAAATCTGTGATGTCTAGCAAGATTAAGCTGCTTGCAAAGGTACTCACTTGGAGCTCTCATAAGATACCTCAATGCCTGTTTCAGAAAAGAGATAAGAAATGGCAAATTAGCAAAGCTTCCTTACTTGTGCCCTCCACCATTGCCGGTCAGTAGCCTTGTGCCTCCCAAGAATCTCACCGTCAACCACATCCAAAGGTTGCATTGTCTCCCACGGTCTTCCCCACTTCCTGCATTGACCAACACGTTGACTATCTCCTTCTCAAAGGTCAAAGCCTTCTTACTCTGGAACCTTTCCAAACCACATGTAGGCTTTGGGATACGAGTTGGCATTGGTCACCACCTTTTGCTTCCATGCCTTTTTCTGAGACAAAAGCCTCTTGGCCTGTGCCCTACACTCCTCGGAGGTTTCCAAAACAAAATAGCACGACCAGTGAGCCCTCGCTGACCCTACAAAGAGATGGTCAACGCCGTGGTTGAATAGTTAGTCAACCTATTGTGTTTTACCTTTGCATTCATCATGGTCTGCTCGGTTGAGGGTGTCAGTGACGAGTACCCGCTTCTCGTTGACGGCAATGGCAAAGATACCCGCCATCGCCACCATTTGACCTCCAAGCCCCAGCTTGGGCGAGTTGACCCAGTCGTTGACCAAGAACTTGGTTGACTTATCAGTGCAGTCCTTGGGGTGCTGATGCAGCCATAGATCCGTTTGGGCTTGCCTTGTCATGGGCAAATTATCATCATCGCCACCTTCAATCTATACTATGATCATGGGAAACCTGTGATTACGTTGGAAAGTGCTATACACGTACCCACGGAGGCTGTGGACCACCTCGGAAGAACACGTCTTCATTTGGAGCTCTTGGATTGTGACTTTCACGCGCGGTGGGAAAGATCCAATTGGGTCGATTTCCACTGGCATCGACTGTGTCCCAAGCGCTAGTTTGCTGCGAGCAGTTCTGGAGGTGTGGAGCTCGGGGGGCGCTTTTGATCGAAGAAGAAGAAGAAGAAGTTCCATTTCCAAGATAGAGCTCCTGCCAGTACTTCAGTAGGAGCTCCACTCTGGGATCAAAATCTCTGGAGGGTGTTTCCTTGGAGCAATTCGCCGCGACGATCGGGTCAGTGGTCGAAGAGACTGAAAAAATTGGAAGAACAGAGAAGGAATTCTAATCGATTTCTTCCTTGCACACAACTTACGGGACTTTAAATCCGTTGTAAGCATCGCGCGAGGAAACGTGAAGAAGAGGACGAGCGAGATCGCTGTGATCGACGCAAACGTGTTGAGAATTCCCTTCCTCGTCCACAAATCCATGGCCATTACATTAGAGAGGCGCATTCGCATCGTCGTGAAGTCGTGCCTTGGAAGAACAGCGTTATTATTTTCTTTCGGCACTTCAATGCCGGCATCCAACGGCTGTGAATGGCCCATTTGGTCGCTTAATCCAAGCTCCACCCGCGTGGAAAAAAGGAATTGCGTAGTCGTGACTCGCTCGACTACGATGAATTTCAAACAAAGATTACAACGATTCCGGAGAAAAATACTCGTGAAATTTGACTTTAAACTTCTCGATCACACTGTTTCGAGCTTTTGAACTTACGCTCCAAATTCGATTTTTACGAATTTTTGCCGCAAGTCCAGTCGTGCTGCCCGAGAAACTGGAGCGTTTTGTTGTGGAGCAGAGTGTTCTCGAGCTCTAGAATCAACTTTACGAGAGAGAAAAGAGAAGAAGAGTCAAGAGAAATTGGAAAGTTTTAACGGGGAGACTTACAAGCTGGTTTTCTCCTTGTCTTAGCAGTGGTCCAGGAACATACAGGGAGCATTGCGGGCCAGCATCCTTAAAGATAAAGTTGTGTGTGATGGACGAGAAAAAGGCATAAAATCGAGAAGGGAATTAGAAGCTTTGTTCCTTACCGGCCAAAATCGACCAAGGTTGAAACCATTCACGAACGCCACCCCTTTGCTCCAGCCTTTGAAAGAGATGAAAGTGTCCATTTGAGCTTCACTCTCAAACGTGGCAGCATAGAAAGCAGGGCCATCACAATGTGGAGCTGCCAAAGAAAGAAAGAAAAACTTTGAGTGTATGGCAAAGTTGATTAAAACCTCTTGACTCAATGCGAATGCTTCCATGTCGTTGGAATCCAGCAAGGTCATTTGGCATCGCTTGAAACTTTTCAGCGACATCTGCGAGGCTTAAAGTGTAAGCTCTCCAGCCAAGCATTGGAACATTGTCAAGGATAACGGAAGAAAGAATCCCCTAAACACTCAAGGAAAAAAAGAGTGAACTTTACTTCTCGAAGAAAAAGAAAAAACCAGACCTTTTGGTCGAATATGAAGGGTCCATAGTTGATACGTCCCATGTTTTCCACCTACACAGACATGGAAGTTTTAAAAGTAACTCCACCGGAGACAAATTTCTAACCAAAATGTAGATTTCCAATCCTGCCGATGATCCATCAGGAAGTTGTAGCGAGGAATTGGACCATCTTTGCAGTGTTCCTACGAGTCTCAGGCTTTGAGAGCTCTTTCCAACGTAAACTTGAGCTCGATCATGAATCTGTTCATGGTACCGATGAACCCATACTTCTAAATCTCGAATCAGGAGCTTACCTTCTTTATTTCAAGGATGGATCCTGGTTTTGCATGAGACGGGAGTCTGGATCTATAAACGATGAATCCAAAACTCTAGAAACAACATAAAACTTAAGACATTGGTCCAGCACGAAACAAGCCCGAGTTACCTGGTTGAGAAGCTCCATGGCCACTGGAGCTTGTTGAAGATAGAATTCATGACTGAGAGACTGGAGGACTTGGAAAAGATTTGCGAGCTTTTGCAGCACCACAGTCCCAGTGTTTCGTCTCGATGGAAGTTGCGGGGGATCTGGAAGTGGAAAGTTGACATAGCTCGAGAGCACTTCACGAAATCCTGCAAAGAATATAAGAAATAGCACAAACACAATAAGAGCTCAAACTCACTCCAAAACTTTTCTCCAAGATCTCCACCTTCCCCAATGGGGGCGTCCTAGAGTTTCCTGGAAACAATTCTCAAACCATGGTTTAGAAAGAGCGGGCAGCTCACATAATCATAAGACGTGATATCCGGCTGATAGATGGTTTCTTTCCCCCCAGTATTTGCACCACTGAAAAATCCAAAGTTGGAGCCTCCGTGAGCCATCTAAACAAAGAGTTTCAATGCCAAGAACGTAAGCTAGAATGAAAAAAACTCACATAAAGCACGACAGAACCATTAGCACTCAAAAGCTTGTCCAGTTCTGCCGCTGCAACATACGGGCTTGTTGTTGCGAGATTTTCTCCCCAGTGAGTAAGCCAGCCCGTGTAAAACTCACTGCAAAGAAATTTCTCAGTGAAGAGTCCAAAAACAAATTGGAACTTACGTTGACAATGCAGGAGACTTTCCAGGGGAGTTGTAGTTCTTTTGTAGTGCAAATGCTGCGACAGGATCCCAGCCGGTGGGAAAATCCACAGCTGAAGAAAATTCGAAGGAACAGTAATCCAAAACCACGAGATTTTGATAGAGATACACACCAGCATAAACATCGTCTCTAGATATTGTACCCCGTTGCAGAGCGTCATCTGTAGCTCCATCAGTCGTGTATCTGAAAGTAGTAAAAGCTGCTTAGTTGAAGAGCTTCGAATCAAAAGAACCCACAGGATTATTTCGTTTCCCAAGTATTCGCGAGCATCGCTGACAAGGTGGTGGAGATACTGCTTGTCAGATCCGAAAGATCCATACTCGTTTTCAACCTGCGAGAAGAACAGCAAGGAAGTTTAGAAAATCAAAAGTGAGCAAACCTGTAGCATGATCAGTGGACCACCACGAGAGTAGAGAAATGGAACGAGTTTAGGAAGAAGAACATTCCACCATTGGTCAACCTGTAACTCCAGGATCTAGGATAGAAGAATCGAAAAAAACAGTAGAGGGAAGAACTTACGAGCTTAAGGTACGAAGAATCGGAAGTCCTGAGCTTTAACTGTGGTTTTTTGGACAGTAGCCACGAAGGAAATCCTCCAAGGTCCCATTCTGGAAGGAAAATCTTCGAAAACCTCCAAGAGGAAAAAAGCCAAACCTCCACAAACATATGGTCCCATGCGAAGCATGACCAAAACTTCGAGCTCTTGTGCGAGCTTTAGAAAGGCCTCGAGGTTCACCGGATCGCCAAAGAAGAACTCGCCTTCCGATGGCTCGTGAACATTCCAAGGAACGTAAGTCTGGATGGTGTTAAGACCCATTGCTTTTGCTCGCTGGATCCGGTCTTTCCAGTACTGCGAGAGCATTTTTCTTCGATGAAAAACACAAGAATTCGAAGAGATCGAGAAGAACTTTACCTCTGGAACGATCCGGAAGTAGTGGATTTCACCACCCAGAATGCGGAAGGGCTCTCCATCCTTGTAAAACGCGTCGTTTTCTATAGAAAAACTTCTGGATTGCTGCGGTGGGGAAAAGAGAGACTCCATAGCTAAACCATCAAAGCGAAGAATCGAAGCTTACCACTCCCTGGGAGGCGCCCAGTGTTTGCAGCGCAGCCAACGCCATAGACACAAGCAACATTCGCGTGAGCGCCATTTTCCCAGCGCTGGAGAAGCGCATGACAAAAAATAGAGGAAGAATCAGCCACACCACTTTTGTGTCATTATTTTTAATTGGTAAAATAAAAGTTAATGATTAATATAACATGAGCTGGAATAGCTCAGTTGGTCAGAGCGTGTGGCTGTTAACCACAAGGTCGGAGGTTCGAGCCCTCCTTCTAGCGCATTGAAGTTAAACATTTTTTATTCTGGTTATGTTTAACAACAAATAATTTAGTGAATTGAGATTAACAACTTTTCTTTTAGTCTTGCAGTTACACAAAAATTTCAGCAGTATCGCGTATAAGCCAAGTAACACTTGTAACAGACTAAGAAATTTTCCACCAAAGGCTGGAAGTTTGGAAGCACAAAACCATGGCTGCTGCTGCTTCATCTTCCAGCCAAAGTAGTGGGATCTTCATCGTTTGCCTGTCGCTCAGCCTGCTTCTCATCGTTGGAGTGATCCAACTCGACAACGCGAATCAAAATGGTGAGCCGTCTGCAAAGCTCTCGCAGTTTCTCCTTCGTGGCAACTTGCCTTGCCAATCCGTGCAAGTATCATCCGTGTCCAAAACTTCGTCTCGCAACACCGAGCTCCCTGCGCACGACGAGACGAGCGAGAAGATTGAGTTGCTAATGGAGATCTGGAATTCTTCACCATACCTCAAGGAGGACGCCAAAGTTTCGGAGGAAGAGCTTTCTAGCATCACTCGGCCTCCTCACCTGGAGAATTGTAAAGCTCGTTACATGGAGTATACCAGGATGGACAGCCGGAGTGACGATGGAGAGCGTCCACACTGGAGTTTGTGGAAAGGCCTCTTGGGAGCTGAGCTCGGAAAGCACGTCCCCTACGAGGACGATGGAGAGGAGCTCCTCCTCAACAAAACAGCTCTGCTGCAAGGTCCATTTCCTCCCTGGGTGAGAATCCAGAGATCTAGAGTTAGAGGCTGGTTTTATAACTTAGATCCGGTTTGCAAACTGTCCAGATCGATGGAGGAGAGGAAGATAACTTACCATACACAAGACGCGTCCAGCGAGATCTGTGGTTGCATCAGCACCCGAAGAACTGCAGAGATTCATCTCTTAAGTTCTTGTACGTAGACTTCGCAAACATATCGACATGGGGTACCGGAGCACAGCTGAACGCCATCTCGGGAATGGTCGCAGTTGCTATGAACGAAAATAGAGTTCTGGTCCTGGAGTATTTCAACCGAGCCGATCACGAGGGCTGCAAAGGTACGCAAAAGCTTAGGAGAAAGAAAAAAAACAGTTAAACTTACCTTGGCACTTAGGATCTGGACACTCTCGTTGGACATGCTATTTCATTCCCGAGACATCAAAGGAATGTCGTGAGCGAGCGCTGGAGCTCGCTGCTTCGCAGGAAGCGAGAAAGAATAAAACTATCACCGACATGAGCAACTACTGGGGAGGGATAACATGGTTCGCACCCATTCCAGTGTAAGACCACAGAGAATCCATAATGCAACAGTGTGAAATCTTCTATCTTCCACACAGGATCTGGGGAAAGCCATGGGAGCATCTGCAAGCAACGAGCCAAGTGAATGGTGAGCTCACAGTTCATCACAACCAAATGCACATATGGTGGTGGCGTGCACAGGTAGTTGTGCTTTAAAACGAAAGTGAATATGAAGTGCTTGATATCAGGCCATCAGATATCTTACTCGATATCCAAGCGAGTACCTGTGCGTACTTCTCAACCGTGCTCGTCACGAAGCGTTTGGCCGTGCGGCTGCTGCGTTGGTCGTCGACACACTTCCCAAAGAGTGGCCAAAGGTCTGGAAACAATCAGAATAAGCTTGGTTTCAAGGAAATATAAGCATAGCTTTGATGCCTTACAGGTTGAAAGTTCGAGAAGAAATATCACCGCCATGGAGAAGCTTGTGTGGAGCAACCATATCCACAGGCCATGGGTTCCGAGGCCCCTGGTAAGTGTTCACGTTAGACAAGGCGACAAGGGCCGAGAAATGAAAATCTTCAGCTTCAAATCTTATATGGAGCTTGCTCATAACTTACGTGGTCGCTTTCCTAATGCCAAGCACATATGGCTTTCGACGGAGATGCAGGTACGAGAAAAAACTCCAGCTTGATCAATTCCAAATGAATCTCCCGCAGAACGTCGTAGACGAAAGTAAGAACTACACAAAGTGGAACTTCTACTACACGAACATTAGAAGACAAACCGGAAGCACGACGATGAAAGACTACGAAACCGGCCTGGGAAGATGGAACAGTAGCACCAATGCTTTTGTGAACCTGATGATGGCAGTGGATTGCGATTACTTCATAGGAGCGCTTGGATCCTCCTGGGGTTCCATCATCGACGGACTGCGAAGCACAGGTGGTAAAGCTCTTGCGGGGATAGTAAGCGTCAATCCTGGCCAGTTCTGGTAAGATCAGTACGAGCGAAAAAAAAAGCTCAAGAAAGAACAGACTGTTAAAACGGAAGGGCTTCATTGTCAAAATCAAGCACTACACCTCAGAGTTCATTTTTTTCATCACCCTTGCCATTAACTGACACGAGTTCGGTCTCAAAAATCAGTGTCGCACCACCTGAACATATGCAGAAGTTTTACATCAGAACAAAGAAAAAAAGAGAGTGGAAACCAAGGAGTTTTACCTGGAATCTTTGGTGGTTGTCCTTGATCCCCATAACCGAGCTTGGAGGGGATCTTAAGCTTTCTCTTCTCGCCGACGCACATTCCTAGAAGCCCTTGATCCCAGCCTTGACATCAAAGTAATATAAGTTCCAAGCTTTAGAACAAAACTAAGAACTCACCTTGAATCACTTGTCCCTGGCCTAAGGTAAAACCAATGGGATCGCCCCTGGTGTAGCTCGAATCGAAAACGGTCCCATCCGTGAGAGATCCCTGAAAACAACTCGTCCAGTGCGATAGAAAAATTGGACACATTTCCTACCTTGTAATGGACCTTCACTTCATCGCCTTTGTGAGCTCGAATTTCGCAAGTCGAAGGTTTGAACTGGCAGGAAATCTCTCATCAGTCCACAAGAAGAAAAAACGAAAAAAAAAGGAAGACCCGATCACATACCTTCACTCCGATCTGGAGCTCCTTCACATCACTGACTTTAGCGATCGCTGCTGGAAAGGGAGCCGAGAAGATCCAAGAGTGCTGGAACGAAAGAAACTTTACCTTGAGAAGCCAGCAGCGCTAGCGCCAACGCGAGAAATAAACTCGTAGACGCCATAGCCAACCCTAAGCGCGAGCTCTGGTTTTAGAGCTGGAATAACTTTGTTTGATTAACGCAAAGATAAACAATTATAATGAAGTGTGTGGCCTGTGCGAAGCTTCCATGGCTTCCTACTGGCGAAGGGTCTCCACGACGTAGGCCGCGTACAAATCCCTGGAAAACACGAGCATAGCTTTCAAAAGAAACAAGAGAAAAGAGAAATGCCTACATTGAGTTGCGCACAGCTTCTATGGCTTTCTCTGCGGGAAGGAAGTCTTCCACCTCTACTTGCTTATTCTCGTTCTTCTTGTCTGTCACTCGATCGTGAAATAGAACGGTAGAGAATCGAAAGAACCAAAGACGATGCAAAGGATACAATCCTCGAAGAACCTGCGAATCTCCGCTAGCCTGTGAGGCGGGAGCTGCTTGATGTCCGTGCAATGCTTGTACTCTGGATCATCAGCGCACACTGCTATGATCTTATCGTCCTTCTCCCCCTGATCAGATAGATGACACTCTTAGAAAAACGCTGAAAAGGATGTAAACATTTTGCTACCTGATCGATCATCGGCATGAGCCCGATGGCTTTGGCTCGGAGAAACGCTCCTGGAAGAACAGGCTCCTGTTCATGAAAAGTTCACTTGGCCGAGAGCGTTTACTAAGACAAAACCAGGGAAAAAAGAAAAAAAGAGATGGAAGCTCACTTGCATGATCACAAGAACGTCAAGCGGGTCATTGTCTTCACACAGCGTGCGTGGAACAAATCCATAGTTGTGTGGATAAACCACCGAGGAATAAAGGACTCGATCAACCTGGAAGAACGACCAAAGCATAACTGGAAAGTAGCGAAAGAAAAGATCAAACTATTCACACCTTGATCAATCCACTTTGCTTGTCGAGCTCATACTTGACTTTGCTGCCTTTGGCGATTTCCACGACCTGGAAAACCGATTCAAGCAATGCTACCAAACAAGAGGATGAAGCTCACGCAGTTAAAAACCGAGGGAGCTCCAGAACCTTGGGGTTTTGGGGCAAAATCCACGAAACAAGACGGTCGATCGCGTGAGAAGATCGCAAGAACAGCCTGAGAATCAAGAGAACACGAGACGAGCGTACCGATTTCGAGGTCGTGCCAGGGATGCGCCGCGACGAATCGGTCCGCCATCGCCAGCCAAAATATTTTGCTTGGCTTTGCGTCGACCTAAACGTATGGCGTGGATAAAAAAACAAATGTACTTTCTCAAACGAAAACGATTTTTTACAACGAATTTATTCTCCTCCCAAAGAATGGTGTTCTGGCTTTCTTTTTTTCTTTCACTTTTACCGGCAGCTTCTCGAGCAGTAAACATTATCACTCGTGGGAGAAGTGACTGAGGGCCATTCTCTCGATCGCGTTCTATCTTCACAAACCACCGTCAAGTAGCCTTTGTCAAAGTTATACTGCATCAATCGAAAATGTGTGAAAGTCAAAAGGAATCATACAAGAGAAACGACGAGCGCGGACGACGACGATTTCTAAGAGACGCGGAGAAAATAGAAAAACAAAAGGAGAGCGAAGAACATACCTCGCATTCAAACGTTTTGCTGCCATTACAATTCCAATGCGACGTAGGAACGCAGCTCAAGTAGTGACACCAGCTACATTTCTTGTTCACGTCAACTTCTTTGTACAAGAGAGCAATCGCGGTCGAGTACCTGGAGAAGATTGACAAGCACAGTTGAAGGATCACTCAAAAGAGCAAAAGATGGTAAGAGGAAACTCACCCGGCAACTAAGAGGAGCACGGCAACGATGAGAAGGACGATCTGATAGATCTTGTGTCTCGACTTGACAGGAGCACCGCCCGGCATCCCAGCGTGTCCTTGATGCCGGACCCATCCAAGTTGTGGTCTCATGAGCAGCACGAAGCCGAGCAGAAACCCGGAGACAAATCCTCCGATGTGTGCGAAGTTGTCGACGTGAGGCAAGATGCCCACCGCCAAGTTGATGCCGATGATGATGACCAATGTGATCAACGCGGCAATCTGCAAGCCAAAGCAACGAAAAAAAAAAAAGAATAGAAGCTTGTGTTAGTCGCAATACGTGCTTGGCAAGGGATCACCACCAAAGAGAGAAAACTTTGAAGCAAGCTATAAGAAGGTACCTTGTTGGAATAGATGGACCAGTTGGTGATGAGCTCCGAGACCATTGCTCCCAAAAGACCGAAGAGGGCTCCCGACGCTCCGACCGAGATACGGTCCTGGATGAACAACGCGGATAGGAGGCTGCCACCAAAACCAGATAGGAGATACAAAAGCCCGATCTTCACTGCAGAGAAAACAAGTTTGAGGCAAAGAGAAGAACTTTAGAAAGATTTTCGTCAACTTACCAAAGCCGAATTCCCTCTCCAGGCGAATGCCGATTAAGAGAAGGCATATCATGTTCGCGAGCAAGTGAAGCACACCGGCGTGTAACCACATGCAAGAGATTAGCCGCCACCCTTGATGTTTTTTCACCACCAGTGTCGAGTTCAATGCCCCCATTTTCTTCAATCTATAGAAGCAGCGATCGATCAGTGAAGAACACACACACCCACACACAAAGGAAGAATCATCCAAGCGAAGAAAAAAAAATCAAACGAACCAGGAAGGAAAGACAAAAAAAAAAGGAGAGAGAGAGAGAAGAACTTACGTTTCGGAGGATGGACCAAGAAGAGGATTGTCCCTGAGCGATTCGAAAGAGAGCCTCTTGAGGAAGGTGAGCCTGCAATTGAACGAGTTCTTGGGGCAATTGTTGACATACATGGTGACAATGAAGACGATGACATTGGCGACGACGAAAAGGGGGATGAGCCACGAAATCCTGGACGCGCGAGGCGGCATCTCCTCATACGAGCTGGAAGCCGGGACGGGATACACTGAGCGCCCCCGGTGGCTCGAGAATGACCCCTTTCTTTCGATGTCGAGAGGATGAGCCGCCTCCCTTTCCATCACTGCCGCTCCAAATCGATCGCCCGGCCCCGAATTAGATCACACTACCGAGCTGAAAATCACCTAGCGCGCGCGGTCAATCGCTCGCAGATCCCACCAATTCCAAAAACCTAGCTCGGAATGCCGCCATAGCTGCGAGGAACAAGTCTCCCATATCGGGACGGGAGTATTAGAGCTTGTGCTGAGTCAGCAAACAACACGGTGTGACGCATCATCCACGCGTCGTGCCACGTCGGCTCCTAACTAGAGGAAGAAAAATTTGATCGTTTGATTGATCAAGAGGGTGGAGCTCGCGCTCGCGCCCGCGGCGGGGATGGCGATGGCGCTCCTCCTGCCCTAGCGCCTCCAGCCTCGCATGCGCAACGGAACGCTTCGATTTCTTCACGGCATTTGCTGCGATCGCCACGATTCTCCTTGAGGCAGCGCTGGAGGGCGTCCGTGTCGCAGATTACCTTGTTTCTTGGCGCCGCCGATGCTGCTGGCGCTCGCGCTGACACTGCCGCTGCGCCATCTCGATCCGCCATAGCTGATTCTAGGTCTTCTTGCAAGAACCGGTAGAATATGTGGAAATTCGCTTTTCTTGACTTGGCTGATCGATTTGCTACCTGCATTCTTGCGCAGGAATGGAAGAGCTTCTGGCGAAAATCCGTGAAGCAGAGGCTTTGGCACTGCGGCTGAAAGAGAGCGAGCTCAAGAAGAAGATCAAGAAGCCACCTCCTCCAACTACAAAGGAAAAGGTATGGTGTTTCCCTTTTGTGGAGATTTTGCATGCAATGTGAGAGTGTAGGAGGAGTTTCCGGAGCACGGAGACTGGCTTGACGCTTTCCGGAGAAACCTTGGAGCTTTGGATCGCCGCTTGGTTGTTCTGAGCCTCTTTGATGGAATCGGCGGCACTTGGGCTGCTTTGGATCGTCTCGAAGTTCGGTACAAGGGATATAGCTCTGAGATTGTAGGCGCTGCTTTCTTCCTTCGCGTGCTTATGTTCTAACGCTGGGCTCTCTTTGCATTTCCAGAATCCTTACGCTGCGCGCGTTCTCAAAGCCAAGTTTCCAAACGTTACACACCTGGGAGATGTAAAGGACATTCGACGAGGAGACATTGAGGAAGAGATTGATCTCGTTGTTGGTGGTTTCCCTTGTCAAGACTTGACCTCTATGGGCAAAAGGGATGGGTAAGTTCGAAAGCATTGTTTGCATTTTCACTGCGACTCGCTGCTAACATGAGAGCGCAGGCTGCATGGCTTTCGCAGCCGTCTATTTTTCGATATGCTCCGTATACTGCATCTCTTTCGGCCCCGATGGTGTGAGCCTTTCCTCTTACCACCTTTTTAAGCAGTGTTCCTTTTCAGGTTCTTGGTGGAGAATGTGGCCTCCATGACATGGATAGACCGAGAAGAAATATCCAAGTATCTCAACTGTCTTCCTATTGAGATCGACTCCCAGGATCTAACAGCCAGCAAGCGCAAGCGTCTGTATTGGACAAACATCCCGCATCCAGAGAAGCTGCCTGACGTGAGAAATCACGCATCCAACCTTTTGCAACATGCTCTTGACGACGCGACGGCTCTGGAAGAAAAGATCGGGGTATCTTTCTACTTTTGTCTTCTCGTTGCGTGCTAACTTTCAGCACTTGCCCAGTGTGTCATGACGTGTAACTATTACGTGGGAGGATTTGGACAACTACAACGTGTCTTTGACCGCAAAGATAAGGTGCTGAGATATGTCACCGTAACAGAACTAGAGAAGGTAATGGGGTTCCCTGCTGGACACACTGACATCGATTTTGGTAATCTGGACGACTTCGTGTAAGTTTCTTTTGTTTTATCTTATTTTAGACTGATGACAAAAGATATGAATTCGTAGGCCGTTCGCACCCGAGCAAACTCCTAAAAGGAAATGCAAGCTTGATGACAAGGCTAAAACCATTCGGTGGAATCTAATTGGCAATAGTTTTTCTGTTAAGTGTCCTTGCAGGATTTGTGGCATTTCTAATCTGTTCTTCTCACTGTAGGTTACAGTAATTTCTTACATGCTCAGTCCACTCATGCTACCTTCGACTTGGGAAGCCCATGTAATCTACAACTTCTCTCCAAAATTCAGAGAGAGCGAGTGCGCCGTACTCGAGACGGGGGAGGTACGACAAGCGGGAAATGCCGTCTTTAGTTCTCATAATGTCTACGTTTGGCAGCTTTGGGCACTTTATAACACCAGGTCACAACCAAGCTGGTACGCAGTTATTCTATCCAGGAGTGGAGATCGCTTCGACACATTGCAGTCCAAGAAAAAGAAGAAAGGGCTGCAAATTCACGTGTAAGTGTTTAAAGCTCTGTTTGGCGTTACGCAACGATCTTTCCTGGTTTTCTATAGATGCTTCCTGGAGCTGGACACTGGCTTTCTTGCTGCAAACGACGACCAATGGAGCCCCCTCCGCGGAACCGGACAATACAACAGGATTGACAAAGCTGATCTTCAGACATCCTGGGTCACATTTTCTCACAGGTCAATAACTCCTACTGCTGGTTTTAGAAGCCTGCGACAAGTTTGTTTTTCCTTTAGAATGACCACCTTCAAGAAGCTCGGAGATAGCTACTTCATCTACCCTGGAGAGAATGAAGTCTGGGCAGTTTTTGATCGCGATTCAAGCCGGCCTACGCTGTACTATGTGGTACGCTTTTTTTTTTACTTTCACGTTATTCATTGCTCATAGAGTTGATTTGAGCAGCTTGTTTTAACCACGGAGATTGACTGGAACTTGGTAACGAGGACCCCATCGGGGGTAGAAGGATTTGCGTCTCGCTGTAGACTTTTGCAGCAGACAAGTGCCTCAGACATTTTCAGGTTGCTATGTTCTTCTTTCTCTGTTTTCTTTTCACTCAAACGTGAGCTTCTCCCGCAGACTCACTGACACGGAAGTGGCATTCAAGGATCTGGCACAGTTTTGTTTCAAGGTGCCATACTACTTCAAAGGCGAGGGGAGCGTCTTTAAGCTGGAGCTGAGCAAAACCGGCAAGTATCTCAATCACAAGGTTGGGAGAAAGAGGAGGAGGAAGAAAGGGGGCAGCGACGGCGAGGAAGAAGATGAGAGCGAGTCGGACGAGATGGAAGAGCAAGAACAAGGCTCGTAATCACAAGGAAGTCGTACGGAAAGAAAATATCTTTGTACGCTAAAACCCCCCTAAACCCTACACTCCAAAATCCTTGGCTATGGCGTCTATCGCGTCGAGGTTCACGCCGCTGCTGGATCGAGTGCTCGTCGAGAAGCTCGTGCCGCCTGCCAAATCCGTGGGCGGCGTTCTTCTCCCGGAGACGCAGAAGCACGTAAGTAGTTGATCGATCGATCGTTGGCGCGTTTCTAGGGTTTGAGCGTTGCTTTGGCAGATCAATGGCGGGACTGTGGTCGCGGTAGGCCAGGGCGTGTACAACTCCGACGGCGAGATCGTGCCAAATCTCTGCAAAGTGGGCGACAAGGTTTTGCTCCCGGATTGGGGCGGTGTGGAGATCAAGCTCGAGGACAAATCGTAAGAGTTTGCTTTTGTGTTTTCTCTTGCTCTCCTTCGCTCATCTCGTTTTGTCGATCGATCCAGGTACGAGGTCTTCCGCGACAAGAGCATCCTCGCGATTATGAGCGACTTTGAGTAGGATAGAAGACGATTTTGGTGGTACCACTCAAAGGTTTTGTTTCATCATTTTTTTTCTCTTCTCGCATCGATCTAGCATCCTCTCACTCTTCTAGATCATGGTAGCAACTAGGATAATTCTCTTCCTCTACTATGGCTAGAAGAGGTGAGAGAGGTTGCATAGATGTCAGACAATACAGTGTAAGGAGATCCATTCCCAGCCACTGTAGCTCCTCGATCGGCATCGTAGTGGACGCATTGAGCAGCGCCCCCCACGCCACTGGATCCGGCACGAAAGGCATGGAATGCGAGGAAGGGCTATTGACGCCATAGAATATCATGCTACTTTTTACTGATGCTTACGTTTCCTTGACGAAGTTTCTCACAACTACCGTCTAATCGAAGCTCACGTAATCCTGAGAGCGTTTCCTTGACGAAGTTTCTCACAATCTCACGTAATCCGAGATGATTGTTATACAGGAGATAATCCTTAGAGCTGTCTAGAAACTAGAAAGTTTGGAAAATTAGAAAGAACGGCTAGTGCTGGCGTCTTTGCACTTGGAGTAATCCGCTAGCTGTGGGGTAAGCTCGGGCAAGACTGTTGGGGGAGGTGTGGAGAGATCAAGCGGGCTTGCAGGATTTTCGAGGGGGTCCATAGCAGGCCAAGAGAAACTCCTACCCAGGTTTTGAAGAGTGATTGTTGACTTGTTTGTATCATTTTTCATATGTAACTAACATATTTTGTTTCTGAAGATAGTTTAAATTATGCTATTGGAACTCTTCAAGGTCAATATAACACTATTGTTCAAATTGTTTCATTTTCACATACTCTATTATACAAAATGATTGTAATTTCAGGACACAATGTAATAGATACAAAAACGTATAATCACCAGAATTGTTTAAGATGTATTTATAAATGAATATTGAGCATTTTATCTGATTGAATTTTTTTATATTAAGGTTATTCCAATAATTATCAATCCTCTTTAGTATTATTAAGCATATATATATATATATATATATATATATATATATATATATATATATATATATATATATATATATATATATATATATATATATATATATATATATATATATAGATAGATAGATAGATAGATAGATAGATAGATAAGATAAGCATATATAATCTAGATATCAATTATTACGAGATTTTTTTGGATGAAAATATTTATACCAAATTTAGCAATAACATTAGTGACTTTAAGAAAGTTGTGTTTTAAAGGGAGTTTTATTTTGTATTTTCACGTATAAGACATGCCATAGTCCAAGAATTTAATCTATTGGTTTTTATGGTTAGTTAGGGGCATTTCACAAAATACTTATCACTAACATTACTGCTTGATCTAGAGTTCTTGTTAATAGTACTAAAGTAAGTCACATTGGAGAGATGATAGTTTTTTATATTACAAGTTGTGATTGAGTATTTTTATCCTGAGATCATTCTCACCAGCTTATTAAGCTTTCCTGGGAGAATGATAAGGACATCTTAAATAATATTCAAGTAACTATTTTAAACATGAGTTCCTGGAGCAGTTGAGTTGAGAATCTGGCCACCCTGTCATTATGTAAAACAGAGTAGCCTTTCCTTATCTCATCCTGGTATTTAGGAAGCAACAAAAATCTTCAATCTGTGTCATAAACTTGCACATGGAATTATCGACTTCAATGGTGCTCACTTGCTCCACAAGCCACAGTGTGCCACTTCTGGAACTTGGCACAGTGCTACTCTATTCCAGCCTCAACAGCTTGTTTAATTGCAAGTTCCTTTGCTCATTTCAAGTTAGTTCTATAGTAGTTCTGGAAACTCCTCATTCTGGGTCACTACAGTGCCTTCTTCAAGCTTAATTCAAAGCTAAGAATCATGACAAGGCCCTTCACCTGTTGAGACCCTTACCAATTGGACATTCGCAGCTGTTGGATTAAACAATTTTATATCTAAGAACACTCCACCCACATGGGCCACCCAGGGTCATTATTGGGGGTAATATGCAACTAGCCTCCATCTTAAGTAATAATCTTTTCAGAAACTTGATGTCCATACTTGGCATATTGGCAACAATCATATTCTTTTTGAGATCAATTGGACCCAACCTAATCCAACATACTAGGTGCTAAAGCACACACTAAGTAACAAAAACATAAGAAGGTGATATGCAAAAAATGAGAAAGATAAAGTTCAAGAAAAAAAACAATTAACAGCAGATTAAGATTTTTAAACTGTTAAGAAACAAATCACAACCATTAATAACTATAATATATTGATGAACCCTAAAACATAAAAAAATGTTTATAGAAGAAGTCGCAGCCGTTTTGAGGGACTGCTCCAGTTGCCGAGATTTGCATCTTGGCCGGCAAATTCACTCCCAAATCCATGCCAGCCACTACAAGAGCGATCGATACCTTGCTAATCTCCTCATAGAGATGTATGGAAAGTGTGGGAGCGTACAAGATGCCCGAGCTGTCTTTGATGATCTCGCTAGCCCCAATTCCCATTCTTGGGCATTGCTCATTTGTGCAATTGCCAACAATGGGCATCTTGATCATGCTGAGATGGTTCTTGATTCTATACCCGAGACCAATGTCGTAGCCTGGAATTCACTTCTTACTGCATTTTCCAACCACAGCCATTTTGACGAGGTGGAGCGCTTCTTTTCTAGAATGCCAGTGAGGGATACTGTTTCATGGAACGCAATGTTGGTAGCAATTGCCAGAACTGGGCATATGATAAAAGTCAAAGATTTCTTTCAAAAAATTCCTAATCCCAACACTGTTTCATGGAACATTCTCCTTCAAGCCCATCTTGATAATCAAGAGCTATCCATACAAGAGGTTGAAAAATTCTTCTTTGAAGTCTTTCCTAACAAGGACGTTATTTCCTGGACAACTATGCTAACGGCATATGCCCGCTCTGGGTATCTTGAGAAGGCCAAAGAAACCTTTGACCGCTTAATGCCACGTTGCAACCTGGTGACGTGGAACTCTCTCCTGCAAGGTTTTGCAGATGCGTGCCACGTGGATGAGGCAAAGCGTCTGTTTGACCAGATGCCTCTGCGAGACATTGTCTCCTGGACAGCTATGCTTACGGCATATGCCTCTTCCGGGCATCTTGAAGATGCCAAGCGTGTGTTTGAGAACATCCCTGCACGGAATGTAGTGACGTGGAACGCAATGCTCCAATCGTACGTCCACGCCAGGCGCCTGGAATCTGTCAAGTGCATATTCGACTCCATGTTGGAGCGGAACATTGTGACGTGGACGACCATGCTCGTGGGATATGCCTGGGATGGCCAGGTGGACAGTGCCACGTTGCTCTTCTTCACAAGAATGCCAGAGTGGCACATTGTGTCATCGACCGCAATGGTGACGCTATATGCCCAAAACGGGTATCTGGAGGATTCCAAGTGCGTGTTTGATTCTATGCCTGAGCACAATGTGGTGTGTTGCACAGCACTTATGCTTGGATATGCCCAGTCTGGGTATATTCAAGAAGCAAAGAAAATATTCGACAGAATGCCAAACCACGACCTCATCTCGTGGAATGTTTTAGTGGCCGCTTATGCCCAAAACGGGTATATGCAAGACGCATCAACTTTGTCCACTCTAATGCCCGCCAAAGACACGTCGAGCTGGAACGGGATGATGGGGGCTCTCATAGGCACCATGAATCTTCACGATGCCAATAGCATCTTTGCGGAGATCCCAGACAAGGACAAGTTCTCGTGGAACATCGCCATAACCGGGTGTGTGAGGAACGGTCGCGTGAGTGCCGCGAGAGTCCTTTTCGAGAGGATGAGCGAGTGGGATCTAGTCTCGTGGAACAACTTGATCGCGGCGTATGCCCACTATGGGCATAGCATCGACGCCATCGAGCTCTTCCAGAGAATGGAGTTCCATGGCGAGAGCCCCGATGAGATCTCGCTCGTGAGCGTTCTTACCGCGTGTAGCCGCGGGGGGCTGCTCGAGAGGGGCCATTCTTACTTCCTCTCGATGAAGGAGAGGCAGCTGCGATCTTGCAGAGATCACTACTGCTGCATGGTGGATTGTCTCGGTCGATCGGGCCACTTGGGCAGTGCGGAGGAGTTGATCCATTCCATGCCTTTCATGCCGGATCCAGTGGCGTGGGGCGCACTGCTCAATGCGTGTCGCCTCCACTGCGATGTCGATCGAGGAGCTAGAGTGGCAGAAAACATTCCCGGGAATGGAGCTCCTTACACTCTATTGTCTGAGATCTATGCAACCTCTCACATCTCTTCTCGTAGAGAGTTCTTGCCTTTCCACCAACGAGGAAAACGCAGTGATTTGTAGCAGCTTCTCGGAGTCGGCCAACGATCTCGGTGGCCAGCGCTTCTTCGAATCCTCGAGCCTGCGATGGAGAGGGCTGCACGGCCTGGTAAAGGACGCCACTTCTACGTCGCGCGCGATACCATCGAGCATGGAGTCCCAAAATCCGTCCAGCTCGTGCGCGCCGGATTCATTCTGGCCGTCAAGGAAGAACACGCCTTCCCTGAACCCAGAATACTTTGTTCCTCTTCTAGGAATCTTGGAGATAGCTGACGATTCAGTTCGCATTGGAAATTTCTCCATCAGGAGGTAGATTTTGTAAGCCTAGCATCCGATTGAAGAGTCTTTCTTCGATTGTTTCTCTCTCTTTTCTTCCATTGGAAACAGTTAATCCTTCTTTTCTCAAGGAAGAAATTTGGTTCTTATTTCTTTTTTTAGTTCTCTATCCCATATTTCTGGAGATACAAGCTTTTGTAAGCCAAGCTTTTTCCTCTGATTCGTACGCCATAAAAGAGCAGGGAAGCATATATGTTTCGTGCCAAGCAAGAGAGATCCTTACAAAGGACCAGTGACCAAAGGCTTCTCCAATATCCAATCTTTGTCACTATCAAACAACTCGCCCATATCTCATATGTTTAAACAATATACCAAGTGATTAATGTTTTGTTACTACATTTGGGTAACAATGGGAGGATTTCGAAATGAACTAGTTATTTCTCTGCCACAGCACTTTCAGCCTTCCATCAGCTTCCCCCTTCCATTTTCCCACAAAATCTGTAAGTCCATTGCCATTGCTTGATGGAAACTGGTATGATATTTAACATAAAATATGGTTGGCTATTCTAGGATATCTTACAGTTGTTCATTTCGATTATTTTTGTGTTTATAATTATAATAATGTTTAAGATTTTTTAATCTTTTAAATTTACTAGTCTAGGACTAAAGACCTTTTGGATAGAGCAAGTGAAAGGAACAGGTTAAAGTAAATTTTGAAGCAATTTTAAATTCACAACATAAAGTAAATTTTTGGGATATTAGGTGGTTGACAATCTAAAAGGTAGGGTACTAATTATGTCTTTCGTCTAACAAAATAGTTTTTATGGTGATTTAAGAAAACAGGCCTATTTGTGGGGAAGCTCTTAGTGCACACCCTAACTCTGGATTGCGCTTCTACACAACCATGTGTGTTCTTTGAAGGAGAGAGTTGAGCAATCTTGTAAAATAAGAATAAGAAAAATGCTATTTCTAGCTTTTTTTTAACACAAAGAAAATTATTATATCATTTTATAGGAATTAAATTAACCAATATCAGCTAAATTATTAAGTTTATTTTAAAAGCTTAAGCTAGTTTTTGCAAAGTTTCTTTTGTAATTTTGTAAAGTGGTCTAGATTTTATTTGTGCTTTGATTTTAAAAGCCTTAACTATGAGTCAAAATTTCCATGATTCCTAGAAGTATTAATAAGAGATATTATCCATTGTTATCCAACTCTCTCTTGCTTAACTTACTTTTAATCCAATCCCTATTGTGAGAACATACTGTGACCATTGTTGTCCAAGTCATACAAGTCTCTAGTGTCAAACATCTCCACTCATGACAACCACTTTGTCTGAGTATATATAGACTGTACATAGATAGACCACCCAAGAGCTTGCAGTGATTGTTTAGAAAAACTAAAACCATGCTTCTTTAAGGCTTGGTATATTTATGGAGGATTTTGGTTGAGAGTCACCATATAGAAGGTGATGCAATTGAAAGCAAGCATATCATATTTTCTTTCTAAGTCAAGGAAAAACCACAAGTATTTGGTTATCTGATGTTTAACATTCTTTGCAAATTCCTCAAAAGCATAGTGGGAATGGAGCCTAGGAACAGTTGACTTTATTGATAACAGATCCCTCTGAACAAAATGTCTAAATATTCAAGTGATCTGATATATTGGAAAAGAACAACTTAGAGGCATCACTCATCATTTGTAACAAAAGGCTCTATTTCATTCTTGATGTCTATTGTTGCTAATTGAGCATATATAGGAGTAGGACTTACACTTAGCTATGCTAGCACCAAGGCAAGGCTGCCACACTAAGCTTACAATATCCTTATTCAACAATGAGTATTAGATACATGTGATTTAATATATATTTACTCTTCCTCTCTTTATAGTCTCTTTAGTTCTTAGTAAAATGACATTTAACTCTAAATATCTTAAAATCCTTAATAGATTGATAAATAATTTGCTACACAATGCATGTAGTAATGTTTGGTTTGCTTAATAGTAATGTTAATCTTACTTATAATCCAATTGATCAAATAAAAGTTTATAATTATAAACATGTTTATAATTTATAAACACAAGATTAATCTTATTGCATATCAACTACTAGAATAAAAAAGAATA